AATACTCACTACGTAGTAAGTAGTCAATTAATTGTTTACTCTTGTACAACCAACTAATTATCTACCTAATATGAAATTTGATAACTCCTATATTTATATATTTTAATACTATTATCACAACAAATTTTCTATAATGTAATAAGATTAAGGAGTGCCGATTACAATTATTGAAGGTGTGTCGAAATATCTCGTGTACGGATTTTTTACACTAAAATAATATGGGTTCTTCACAAAAATTTATGAGCAAGGTGTATCGGGTGACACATCTTGCTACAAGGTGGGTCCGCCCCTGACCATGCACACATCATCGCTTTCTGAAAGAGGAGAACATATATTATCTATGGAATACTTATATTGGTTACTATATTATGTAATTTTCATTAGATATTGAGATATAAATTACAAATAATTAATTGGATCAACGTCGCAAAAATATTAATTTCTCTATAAGTGATTTATAGATTAATGAAATATTTGATATATTGACAAAGAAGTGAAGTCCACATGCATAAAGACCATTGGTATTTATAGACATGTGGTTATTGACATTTTTTTGGGTTAATACTTTATTTTGACCCGAACTATGACCATATAATCAATTTTGGTCCGTGGTTTCAGAAATTAACATCTTGGCCTCAACTATGCAGCATATAGACTTAATTGGCCCGACACATAGTTTGACCGTCAATTTGGACGGTCAACTCCGTTGACCGTTAGTCAACATGTCATTGCCTAATAAGCCTAAAAATCATTAAAAAAATTTAAATTCAAATTATTTTCCTAATTTCTATTATTTATCATTTTCCAATTAACCAAAAAATAAAATTCTAAAAATATAAATAATTTTTTTGGGATATTTGAAAATGATAAATTTTATAAATTAACCAAAAATTATCAAATTAAATTTTATAAATTTAAAAATTATGATATAAATTATATTTATGTGGGAAGTTTTATAAATATAAAATAATTTGATAATTTTTGGTTAACTTATAAAATTTATCATTTTTCAAATTATCCATAAAAATAAAAAATCAAATTTATTTTATGTTTTTTATAATTTATTTTTGGTTAATTTGATAATAAATAAGGAAAATTATAAAAATAATTTGAATTTGCATTTTTTTAATGATTTTTAGGCTGACTAGGCAATGACATGACGTGTTAACTAACGGTCAACGGAATTGACCGTCCAAATTAACGGTCAAACTATGTGTCGGGCCAATGGAGTCTATATGCTGCATAGTTGAGGCCAGGATGTTAATTTCTGAAACCACGGGCCAAAGTTGATTATATGGTCATAATTCGGGCCAAAATAAGGTATTAACCCTTTTTTTTGTCTAAAAATACTTCATTTAAAAGTGATTTTCAAAGAAGAAATGTTAGTATGAGTAGTAGAAAACTTTGTACATCACATGTACTAGTTAGATCCATTGGAGACAAATTGAGATGTATCTATATTGATGCAACCTTACTAATTTGTGAAAAATATATCAAAAACGGTAGTCAACTTGTATAATGACTAGCTGAAGAATTACCTTATTTGCGGATTAATCCACAACCGCACCCACCTATCATTCACCCGACCCTACTAAAAAAAAAATGCGAGAGTAACAAATCACAATTGTACCAACACGTTAGTAAGCGTGCGGATCAGTTTGATACCGAAACCCACCCAGCCACGGAATGCGCATCCTACTTAATCTAGCGAAAAGAAATAAGAGAAATAATATTTTATATTTACATAAATTATGAACACTTCTTAAGTAAGAAACACAAACATAATTACAATTAAGTGCCATATAAGAGGAGAAGACAGAACTATTAGGCCCCAATCAAAACTGGAAAAAAGAATCATAATTATGGAGGTATAGAGTAAACTAAATTGATCAACGGGTTGACAACCTCCAAGCTCATCTCATCACATAGCTTGAACCTCAATCTGAACCCCATCCAGGTTCATTCTGAAAACCATCTTTGAACTTTACATACAACATCTTAGTCGTCACCTTTGAATCACCGGGAGATCGACCTGTAAATAGATCATATTATAATAAACGACCATTCAAAAGCTTTGGAGCTACTGATAAAAAAACATCAATGGCGGGCGTCACAGAGATGTATAAACATTACCAAGGAATGAAGAATTGTTCGCCAAGCTTCTCCACCGTCACCTTCTGCTTCTTCTCTTCGATCTTCAACTCGATGAACCGATGGGTCCTCCTCAGTCCTCTTGGCTTTCATCTCCCACAATCTCTCCTTGCACTGGCTGTTCGGTTTGCAGTATTTATTTTAACTCTTTTCAGTAGCAGTTCTTATAAAAAAATCATCAATTATTGCTAAATAAAAATGGCTAAGTCACTACTAATTAATCACAATAAAACAACTACTAAATATCATATGAAATTGCTATACTGTAAACGACCAAAACTACTACTTATTTCATTATAAATGATTGTATTTAATTTACGCTAGTAAAGTTATGGTCAGAAATCGCTAATAGAGATTGAAGACAGAAAAATTATTTATTAATTTTAATATGATGAAATATCAAATAAGCCATTTGGCACTTTTTTACCGTCGTGTTCGACTTAAAAATATTGAACGGTGATTAGACTAGTTAGCACCGGCCCCTATAAAATTAGTCCTCTAACTCGATCCCGAATCCATCAACAAGAAAGATAAAAGAACAACCAGACCGGTGGACACCAAACATAAATAGAAAAGCAGGCCAGAAAGCTAAGCTTAGCCTGTACAAATCAATAATTGCACACAGCTAAGGTTGTTAATGAGCCGAGCTAAGTCGAGTTTTGCCTTGTTCATATTCGACTCGTTTATAAACATGCCGAGCTCGACCTTGATAGCGAGCCGCTGACGAATAGGTCGACTCATTAACAGCCCTACACACAGCTATTGAAAGTCTGGGCATATGTAACCATTAGCAGTGCCCGGATAGTTGCACAGTCACAATCAACTTGGCGCCGGCAAGCCCTCAATTGCCATTTGCGCCCAAGGCCGGATTGTTCAATGATTCCACTCGCAGCAATAAGACGATTGGTGGACTCTCATAATTAGAATATAAGTTAACTTTCCCTAATTGTACGTATTCAACTTCCAACTACCAAATCAAACGCATACTTACCGCAATGACCCTGGGGGATTCCTGGACTTTGGGTAATTACTCGGACACTCTCCAGTGACAAGTCTTTCTTAATGGATACAACAAACCCTAATTATTTCACTGCTATTTCTAAGCTATTCCAACAAAATTATGCAGATTACCTAACTTATCACATTCATCATTAGTAATTATACTCATTATAATCCGAAAACAACTAAACCAAATAATAAAAAATATTCATAATAACCAATGCGCGATCAAAATCGGGAATTCATGTAAAATAAATAAAAAACGGTGGCAAAAACGAAATAGTCGGAGTTCCCGGCTGATTCAGTGTGGAGAAAATGTATCCCGTCGAAGATCAATGCTTTCTTGTGGACGGTCGCGCACAAAAGAATCCTCACCCTCGATAATCTTCAGAGAAGAGGTGTGTCAATGGCGAACAGATGCTGCTTGTGCCTCAAAGACTCGGAATCCATTGATCACCTGCTGGCGGGATGTGAGTACACGAGAAGTATTTGGAATGAGATGAAAGAGAAGTGGAACATTGAGCCGGATCCTTGCGGCGATATCGTCAACACCATACGAAATTGGAAGGCGGAGCAACCATGTGATCCTCATGAATGGTTTGCTTATTGCGCCCTCCATTCGATTTGCTGGCAAGTATGGCTGGAAAGGAATCACCGCGTGTTCGAAGATAAAGCTATCCCCGCTGCTTCGGTTCTCAGGAAGGCGATGTATGCAATTGTTGAATGGCTCGTGGCTCATGGCAAGATCAGCAGATCGCAAGGGATGCAGTGGATGCGGCCTGGTCGGAATCTGTGATGGGTCAGGTCCGCTGTGTTGTTTTTGGTCGGTTTTTGCGGGCTTCTGCAGTCGATGCCCCTGCTGCCGCGCCGATGCACTGCTGTTGCTAGGAGGTCGTATGGACCGAGGTTCCTGGACCATGTTGAAGGTTTGATGATGTCCGCTGAGCTTGGAGCTTGCTGTCTTCTTATTTTTCTTACCTTTCTTATTTTTCTTTTTTTCTCCCCTTTTCGTTTTGAGCGAGCAGGGGCATTCTGGTTTGCCTAGCTCCTTTTGGTACTTGCACTTCTTGTGCAAGTTGTTTTCTTTCTTTGGTTGCAGTGACTTTGGATTTGGATTCTCCTTTTCATTTTGTTAATATAATTATCACCATTATCAAAAAAAAAAAAAAAAAGGAATGGAAAGTAATTATGCTAGCATTTTTAACGATATATATAAGTTTGATAAAATGGAATGTATAGATACTAATAACGCTAGTATTTGTTAAAATCGGATCATAAAAAAAAGTTAATAATAACATTAACATGCATGGAGTTGCGAAAAAGGTAGATAAAAACTTGTACCTTCCCAAGTTGTGTCTCCTCGACGATTTAGTTGGGGGATATGATGATAAAACTCTATCCTATTTTTCTGGTTCCTCACTAATTAACTTATTATTTAATTTAAAACATAAAAAATACTCTAAATAGTTTGAACACTTGACCGCCAACTAAAACTGTTAGATTAATATAAGGATTGGAATTAACTTGAATATTTAGATTTAAGGACATGAACCACCTCTACAAGAAACTAAGTCTTAATTTCTTTAACCACGTTGACATGACATAAGCTAATCGGCTTAATTAGTTGCAAAGGATTATTACCGCAGAACCATCGGGATTAGAAAAGAATTAGAGGCCAAATGGAACACTTCATTGCAGTCGTTTAAAAATAATATTTGTTTAAAACCAGCGTGAATTAATTTGAAACTCCAACTATAAATAAACCGCAACCTTTCCGTTTCCCCTTAAACTTCCCTCTCTACCTGAAATTCGAATTACAAATCCCACACAGAGGGAAACGAAAACAGAAAATGGCGACCAAGTTCCTTGCACTATCGTGCCTGCGAAACGGCGCCGGCGCCGGCGATCACACACGCCAATTGTCGCCTAACCCTCGATACCCTTCCATGCCCAAGTACCCAAAAGGCGTTTCCGCGCAACAAACCAGCTCCCTGCCGGAGTTCCCCGAGTCAAAGGCGGTGTTCTCCGTCATCGGAATGACTTGCTCCGCCTGCGCCGGCTCCGTCGAGAAGGCCGTCAAGCGTCTCCCCGGCATCCGCCAGGCCGCCATCGACGTTCTCAACAACAGAGCTCAAGTTCTCTTCTTCCCGAACTTCGTCGACGTAAGTGCGAATCCCCTTTACATAGCGGTTCAATTTTTACGTCGACTTACTGTTCGATAAATGTCCTCAATGAAAAAAAATGGATGGTTAAATTACTTTCTTTTCCAAGTGGGGATTTCCTGGCTTGTGCTTTACGGATAAGAAAACTAAGAAAGCATTCCTATATATATTAGTAAATCCGAGCTTTGCTGGTGTAAAGCCAAAGTTAATTTAGAGTGCTTACATGATTGAGTGCTTTGCGGTCGATTGCTTTATATATATAGAAATTGAGGCAAAGCAAGTTGGTTGGATTTGCTTCACGAGTCGTGGGGGGAAATCTTGAGGAAGTGGCATCGTGGATTCTGATTCTGGCTGCCACCCACCTATCTCTCTAATCTGTGCATGAGATCTTACTTATTGGTAATGCAGAATCCCAACTTTTGGGTAGAAAGTGACAGTTTGGTTGGCTATGTCTCTCCAAAATTGCACTCATGATGGGTAGGTAGGTGTAGGCTGGCTGATGGCCTGATGCGGTTCCTGGTGTGATCCAAATGGTCGATTGCGAGTGCAATTGTTAGATTCACGCAATATATTTGCGTGCATTCTAACAATAAGAAGAAGAAAAATTGTGAGATGTACATTGTACCAGGTTAACAATGGTGCCGTTCAATATGGTGAATCTTCACCCTATTACAGCTACTCATCTGTTTATCACCATGATAACTACATCCTTCAAATCGCTCTAGGAGTTCTTTGGATGAAATAATTGTTAATGTGCTATTTATTTGGTCAAATAACTACTCATTTCATGTGGTATTTCAGTGGTTATTGAATTAAAATATCTTATATGGCTAAACTATTCACTTGTGGTTTATGATATGTGATATATGACAATAGTAAAAGGATAAAACGCGTCATTTTCAAATAACATGAGGAATATTTAACAAAAAAAAAAAAACAACGAGAGGTAGGAATTATTTCAAATAACTCACAGCTCAAATAGTTCATCTCAATAAAGTGTTATCAAATGAGTTATTTGAACTCATTTGGCTCAAAATAACTTAGCTAAAAACCTCATTCAAATGATTATTACCACACGTTGAAAGTATGAGTTTTTCTTTTTGTGTTCACTAATTAGTTTGGGAGTTACTGCGCAACTTACTAACTTAAATCTTTCTTCCCTGTCTTCTATTGGTTTTCTAGACAAGACAAAGTGAGATATTCCTTGTGGATGGAACCTAATTCTATATTAAGCCCTTTGTTTGAAGCTTCGTTATTCCAATGCTTATGGTTTTGCTATTGTGGATGAAAGATATAGCGTGCGAGTTTGCATTCAATTACACTTGTCATGTGTTGTTCACCTTTGCTTGTTGCAAGCAACTGGCCAGTTGGTAGTTTTTCCTTTCTTTTATGTTCCAGCCTATAAACCAGACTTCTGAATAAAAAATATTTGCGACCTGGACTTTTAACAATGGGCCCAGGCCCATATAGGCTAGGTAGTGAACCTACTGTATAGGCCGTATAGGTAAGATAACCTTGACCAATTTTTTGACAACGTAAGTGATCTTCCCACCCATGATATCAGGAGGAGACAATCCGCGAAACCATCCAAGATGCTGGGTTCGAGGCCAAGTTAATCGACGGCGAAACAGGTCTTGATAATTCTTCACAAGTATGCCGAATACGCATCGTTGGCATGTCCTGCACATCTTGCTCGTCAACGTTGGAACAAACCCTTCAAGCCATGCAAGGAGTACAAAAAGCTCAAGTAGCCTTAGCAACCGAGGAAGCAGAAGTTATCTATGACGCCAGAATCTTAAACCACGGCCAACTCCTTAAAACCATTGAAGATTGTGGGTTTGAAGCGATATTCATTAGCACAGGCGACCAAATGGACAAGATAACACTTAGAGTCGAAGGAACGACGACCGAAGATTCGATGACAATGATTGAGAAATCCCTTCAAGCACTCCCCGGAGTTCAAACCATCGACATGGACCTGGAGCTCCACAGAGTCTCCATTGCTTATAAACCGGACCGGACCGGTCCTAGAAGCTTCATCAAAGTGATCGAGTCAACCGGGTCGGGTCGTTACAAAGCCATGATAGAAGCTGGCCATGGAGGAAGAGATAGCCACAAGCAGGAAGAAATCAAGCAGTACTACAGATCTTTCTTATGGAGTTTGGTCTTCACTGTTCCTGTGTTTCTTCTAGCCATGGTTTTTATGTACATCCCTGGAATCAAGCACGGTCTGGACACTAAGATAGTCAACATGCTGACTGTAGGAGCTCTTTTGAAGTGGGGGTTATCAACTCCAGTGCAGTTCGTCATCGGTAGACGATTCTACACCGGTTCGTATAAAGCGTTGCGCCATGGTTCAGCCAACATGGATGTACTGATTGCCTTGGGGACAAATGCAGCCTATTTCTACTCTGTCTACTCTGTTCTGAGAGCTGCAACGTCTCCAAACTTTGAGAGCACCGATTTCTTCGAGACCAGCTCGATGCTGATATCGTTCATTCTGCTGGGAAAGTATCTTGAGGTCCTGGCTAAAGGGAAAACGTCTGAGGCCATTGCTAAGCTCATGGATTTAGCACCTGATACTGCAATACTGTTGACCATGGATGATGAAGGTAACGTGATGGGCGAGGAAGAAATTGACGGTCGATTGATTCAGAAGAATGATGTGATTAAGATCATACCTGGTGCGAAAGTAGCTTCAGATGGGTATGTGGTATGGGGGCAGAGTCATGTGAATGAGAGCATGATTACAGGGGAAGCTCGCCCCGTGGCGAAGAGGACAGGGGATCCAGTGATCGGAGGCACGGTGAATGAGAATGGTGTGTTGCATGTTAAGGCGACGAGAGTTGGTTCCGAGAGTGCTCTTTCTCAGATTGTTCGTCTTGTCGAGTCGGCTCAGATGGCGAAAGCTCCTGTGCAGAAGTTTGCTGACCGCATCTCCAAGTACTTCGTGCCACTGGTAACAAATTATTGCATTACTCAGAACATGAGACTCATCATAATTTCCATGAGTTATTTTGTGAAGCAAATGTAAGTATTTTGTTGTTGCAGGTGATTATTCTCTCACTTTCGACTTGGCTGGCATGGTTTTTGGCTGGGAAATTGCACGGCTATCCAGAGTCTTGGATCCCACGTTCCATGGATAGCTTTCAATTAGCTCTGCAGTTTGGAATCTCGGTCATGGTGATAGCTTGCCCTTGCGCTCTTGGACTGGCAACTCCTACTGCTGTCATGGTTGGCACTGGAGTTGGCGCGTCCCAGGGTGTCCTCATCAAAGGTGGCCATGCATTAGAAAGTGCACACAGGGTCGACTGCATTGTATTTGACAAGACGGGAACTCTCACGGTTGGAAAACCGGTCGTTGTCAACACAAAGCTCCTGAGAAATATGGTGCTCAGCGACTTCTATGAACTTGTTGCTGCTGCAGAGGTGAACAGCGAGCATCCTTTGGGCAAGGCAATTGTGGAGTATGCCAAGAAGTTCAGAGAAGATGAAGAAAATCCTGCCTGGCCGGAAGCACGTGATTTCATCTCCATCACAGGCCACGGAGTCAGGGCCAGCGTTCGCAATAAGGAAATCATAGTTGGAAACAAGAGCTTGATGCTTGATGAAAAAATAACCATTCCGATTGATGCTGAAGAGATGCTGGCGGAAACTGAAGAAAGGGCTCAAACTGGAATTCTGGTATCAATTGATAAGGAGGTGACTGGAGTTCTAGCAATATCTGATCCATTGAAACCTGGTGCACAAGAAGTCATCTCAATCCTCAGGTCTATGAGAATCGAGAGCATCATGGTGACAGGTGATAACTGGGGGACTGCCAATTCCATTGCCCGAGAAGTTGGGATCAATAACGTTGTTGCAGAAGCCAAACCTGAGCAGAAAGCTGAGAAAGTTAAAGAACTCCAGGTAAATTACCTAACCATGTTTAGTTCTTAACTGCATTTGTCATAGCAAATGCTAAAACAAAGTAAAACAAACCCATATTTACACTATCTTTTCTATGCGAAGGCTGCAGGTCGTGTAGTGGCGATGGTAGGTGACGGGATAAACGATTCGCCAGCACTCGTTGCAGCAGATGTTGGAATGGCAATTGGTGCAGGAACAGATGTTGCCATTGAAGCAGCTGACATTGTTCTGATGAAGAGCAACTTGGAAGATGTGATCACTGCAATAGACCTCTCAAGAAAGACCTTTGCCCGCATTCGTCTAAACTACATATGGGCTCTGGGTTATAACCTCCTTGGCATTCCAATAGCCGCAGGAGCTCTTTTCCCTGGGACTGGATTCCGATTGCCACCGTGGATTGCTGGAGCGGCAATGGCAGCCTCTTCAGTCAGTGTAGTCGTGTGTTCACTCATGTTGAAGAATTACCAGAAGCCTAAGAAGCTGGAAAACCTGGACATTCGAGGAATAAGGATCGAATGATTTGATATGCAACAATAAGAGCTGTTGTTACTGGCTTATGAATGATCAAAGTCACTGTTGGTTGTACAGAAATTTGATGTACAAGATCCAGGTTTCAGGTACAGAGTCTTTTTGGAAAGGTCTAGCAGCATTGTAAATAACAGTGGGTTATTCACATACTTGACTCAAGTTCTTTTTGGTTTAAGCCTTATTGGAAAGGTCTTACAGCTATCATTAAAAAAAAGGTCTTACAGCATTGTAAATAACAGTGGGGGTTAGTCACATCCTGGACTGCACTTTTTTGTTTAAGCTAGATTCAGTTGACCTCAAAGTCTTCAACATTTCTTTCACTTTGAAGAGGACTCGGTGCACTTCGTCAAAGTGAGGACTGGTAGCATCCTTTGTATACTCGATCCATTGTAGAACCTTCTTATGAGGACTGAGAACTCGGTTTCGATCCATGTCATCCAAAACCTGAAATCCGAAAGACAAGAAAATGTTACACTAGGAAGTTTCACATGATGCTTTTCATCTACATACATTGATTACACGAATGAATAGCACAAGACTGAAACAAGTATAGAGAAAAATATAAGTACCTCCAATTGCATTAATTCACATACGAGGCTGATATCTGCTATAGAAGGCTGATTTCCACCGAGCAAGAATTTCCCACTGCCCTTGAGCCAGAAAGACTCCAACTTTGACAAGGATGCAGTTAAAATCTTCTCGCCTTCTGCCGCTAATTTTGGATTCAAGGGCAGTCCAAGTGCAGGTGCCAATGCCTTGTTTAGAACAAATGTAGCTGCAGAAGCATAGTGCGTTAGATTAGATCATATATGCAATAACCAGGCAGAAATAGGAACGTAGTCCCGAAGACCATTCAGAACAGAAATGGAAATGACCATTAAAACAAATCTATGCATGTAACTAACTAGCAGCAATTCGTGTCTAAAAGTGTCAATTCAGAGTGGAGAGATTCAATTCGTAAACGCCTAAATCAGGGTCTAGGAAAGATTAATGGATGCAGTACCTGCACCACGGCGCAAGCTTGTGTGATGCCAATCAAGCACTGACTGAATCTTAGCTCTCCTGAAAAGATCAGCTGGATACCTAGACGAACCAAAAAAAGGTAGAATAGATTGAGAACATCTCTTCAAAAAAAGAAAAATCATCCAGCAAGGAGATGATACAGAAGATATGTATCAGTGTCCAACTTATTTCAAGAAGAGGTGTTCAAATTATCTTGAGTTGCTAGGCCACAGAACACAACAAATTTGCAAACCATCAATGAATAAGAAGACACAACAGCTTGAACTCACCAGTGATCAGGAACTCCAGGAAATACGCAAGCTAGATAGATGAGGATCGCATGACTGTACAAAGAAAAAGAACCAACAAATTAACAACAGTAGGGCAAAAGAAATACAAAAAACAACAGGGCAGCCTGACATATAAAAGATTATTCATTACCTCTCAAACAGCTTGAATCTTCCATCAACAATAGCAGGAACTAGCTTCATAGGGTTTATCTCTAAAAATCCACCATTTGACAAAGACAAACACAGAAGCATCATTAAGTTTCGCTCAACATCACTCTTCTAAATAGAGTTTCTCTGCAAGAAAACCCTATCAAACCGCTAGGTTCATCTTGTATTCAAGTGCCTATCATATCACATGCTAAAAAGAAGTGCACCAAATCTCTCACAATTTCCACTTCAGGAACCCAGTCTCAAGAAGAATCCAAACAAGCCAAAATGTTTCCTTCAAGACTTCAAACACCCAGAAAAATGGAGATTCCGAAGAGAACAAAATACCTGCAAATTCAGGAGACAAGTGCTGACGCTTAGACAAGTCTACTTTGATCTCCTCAAAGTCAATCCGGTTCAGTCTGAAAATTCCCAAATCCAAAACCCCATTAACCGCAGCTGGGAAACCCAAATGAAATCCATTAACAAATTCATGTAGAAAGAGATAAAGATCGTTACTTGCAGAAGAGAATGACAGCCCTGGATGGCTGGGACATGCGATCCACATAAACTTTGAGCGTCATCTTCTTCTCACTATTCCCAAGTTCTTCAAAGCTTTTACACAGATGAATTTAGCGGGTAATATGGCGAATTGCGATGACGAGTTTCACAGCTTAATTCCAGCTTCAACCATTATCCGATCCTAAACGTGGACTTCTTCTCCCAGCCAATATGACGAGTTTCACTCTCCATTCATCGTCACTGACGTCACCTCAGGGGTCGTTCGGTTTGGTTTGCTGGTACCTGTCTCAACTCTACGAAATGGGCCTAAAAGCTGGAAGGCCCTGGGCCTAACTCAGTTTAACCCATTTTTTGAGCGATGGGTCTAGGCCTGCTCAATATGGCACATCCTAACAAGCCCAAGAAATGTGGAGGACATCCCTTTCAAAAGTGTGACGTCACGTCTCTCGTCTACCTTTGTTTGGCTTTTATGGGGCACACAGTACGAAATTGGATTTCAAGATTTCAATCCGATGAGAATTCAGAATTGCATTCTCCCATGGAAAGATCAGGATTCAGAAAGATCACAAGAGAGATGATTCAACGGTCCCAAACACAGAGCTCACAGCAGCGGAACCTGGTCCCTCCACCACCAGATTCCATCCCTCTCCGAAACCGGGAAAACTTGAAACTCTACTCACTACTGTACCCCTTCCTCTATACTTCGCTCTCTCTCTCCTCAATCATGATTTCGTAACAAACAAACACAAGCAATGCATTTTTTTTCTTTGCCACAAGAAATTCCTGCATTGATGATGGCGGGATTGGGAAGCTGCAGCCTGCCGTCTGACAGCAGCAGCAGCAGCAGTACCAGCTTCTCTCTCATAGGGAATCGTGCCGTTTCCGCCCCAGGAAGGCATTCCTCTGCGCATGCGAGAAGAGCCTCTTCAATGCTCTCCATCCCATTACATATACAGTTGTGAACATTGAATTTCTAGTATCTCTCGTGATCTCTCCGTCTCTCTGTTTTGATTCTAGGGAAAATGGCTGGGCAATTTTGCTGACTGACCGCATTGACTTCGTCGTGTTGAAGGAGCCAGCAGCAGAACGGACGTCGGAGAAGGAGACTCGAGAGAGGTGAGAAACTGATTTGCTTCTATGTGCTGCTCTCGCTATTCCTTTGTTGAAATTGCAATTGATTGCTTCTTCCGTTTCAAAGTTTCTGTTTCGCTGTTTGGCCACCGAGAAACCCAAGGAAAATTGGGAGGTTTGAATTGAATTTTCTGGTACCAATGGAATAGTGGAAACTTCTCTAATTCTGGTTGCGTACGGAGATGTCTAATGGCTCATGTGTGCTAAACGGCGGGTTTTTAGGATCTTGGGCTGCTGCTGCCATTGAGTTATACCTAATCTGATACCAATCTGAATTCTGAATGCACAGTACATGCCTCTCTATCAACCTCGCCCTCGCATGCAAGTTTGATTTGAATTGTTTAATGAATTTGATTTGGGGAAGTCAACAAGCACATGTTATTGCTGGGCCACTAGTTGACATTACTGTTAAAAGTCTTCGTTGCTTCATATCTCATCTTGCATTTCCGTCCCATTCAAGGCTATTCACTTCCTTTCTTTCCTTCAATTGCAATTCTTGCTTTTGCTTTCTCTACGCAATCATCCTTCCTTGCCCTGCATTCGTAGTTAGAATGAAAATTTCGGTATCATTTGCAGAGAAGGTACCTTTTTCTGTGCTCTGGATATGTGGTCTTCAAATGTGTGCTCCATTTTTTTGAGTCTTGATGCTTTAAAAGGTTAAATAGATGAGTAAGAATACTGTGCCTTGTTGCTGTCATTTCAATAGAGCCCCAGTTGCATAATGCCATGAATCCCCAGGTACCCTGATTATGCAATTGTACCTTCAACAGAGGGTCAAACATTTTTGCACAATATCATCTCTGGGCTTCACCCTTTTGAAGGCATGCTGTATTCTTTCATCCCCCCGCCAACTGTTCTTGATTGATGCTATTGTGTGGTGTTGATTTCATTCATGAATTAGCAAATTTGCAACGTGACATTATTGTTTCTTTCTATATTACTTTGGCAGGTACTTGAATCCGTAGCAATCTCTCCATTCTGCTCAATCAACTCGGTCCTGCAATGAGCAACCTTAAGCTAGGAGTAGACGTAGTCGGTGCACACAATCTTCTCCCTAAAGATGGCGAAGGTTCATCCAGTGCATTCGTCGAGCTATGCTTCGAGGGCCAGAAGTTCCGCACCACCATCAAAGAAAAGGATCTGAACCCGGTCTGGGATGAGAGCTTCTACTTCAACATCACCGATCCTGCCAACCTTCACTACCTCACTCTTGACGCCTATGTCTACAACAACGTCAGAGCTGCTAATTCCAGAACTTTCCTCGGCAAGGTTTCTATCCATGGCAACTCCTTCGTCCCTCATACCGATGCTGTAGTTCTCCATTACCCTCTAGAAAAGCGGGGCATTTTCTCTCGTGTCAAGGGAGAGCTCGGCCTGAAAGTTTACATCACTGATCGTAATCCGTCCATGAAATCCTCAGCACCTGCTGAATCAATGCCGCAAGGTCATCAGCCTGGTAGAGAAAAAGGTGAAAGGCACACATTTCACCATCTACCCAACTCAAGCCACCACAGTCATCGCCACCACCACAATGCAGAAGCATCTTCAGCAGCAGCAGAAGTGCCAACAACTCATCATGTTCCGAAGTACGTTGCTGATGAGATGAGAGCTGCTTCTGCTGAACATCAGCAGCAGAAGCTAGTCCGTATGTACTCCGCATCAGCAGGACAGCCTGTCGACTATGCACTCAAAGAGACGAGTCCTTTCCTCGGAGGAGGGCGGGTAGTTGGGGGAAGAGTGATCCATGCTGACAAAACAGCAAGCACTTATGATCTCGTAGAAAGAATGTTCTTCTTGTATGTGAGAGTAGTGAAAGCTCGAGATCTTCCTGCAATGGATGTGACAGGGAGCGTTGACCCCTTTGTGGAAGTGAGAATTGGAAACTACAGAGGAATTACCAGGCACTTCAACGACAGGCAGAATCCGGAGTGGAACCAGGTTTTCGCATTCTCGAGGGAACGAATGCAGGCTTCCACTCTCGAAGTTGTGATCAAGGATAAAGATCTTGTGAAGGATGACTTCATTGGAGTTGTGAGATTTGATATCAACGAGATCCCTCTTAGAGTCCCGCCAGACAGTCCTCTGGCTCCTGAGTGGTACCGCCTGGGGGACAAGAAGGGTGACAAAGTGAAAGGTGAGTTGATGCTCGCCGTCTGGATTGGAACTCAAGCTGATGAAGCATTCTCCGATGCTTGGCACTCCGATGCAGCTACTCCAGTCGACAGCTCCCCTGCTGCCTCGACTGTGATACGCTCAAAGGTGTACCATGCTCCGAGGTTGTGGTATGTCAGGGTGAATGTCGTTGAGGCGCAGGATTTGTTCCCATCTGAGAGGACACGGTTTCCTGATGTGTATGTCAAGGTACAAATAGGCCACCAGGTGTTGAAAACGAAGACCTGCCAGGCTCGAACATTTAACGCCCTATGGAATGAGGATCTTCTCTTTGTTGCAGCAGAGCCGTTTGATGATCATTTGGTCATTTCAGTTGAGGATCGCGTGGCACCCGGGAGAGATGAGATAATCGGGAGGGTTGTTTTACCGTTGAGCGCTGTGGAGAAGCGAGCTGATGATCGGATCATTCATTCCCGGTGGTTCAACCTGGAGAAGCCTGTTGCTGTGGATGTGGACCAGTTGAAGAAGGAGAAGTTCTCTAGCCGGATTCATCTCCGAGTCTGTCTAGATGGAGGGTACCATGTTTTAGACGAATCCACCCACTACAGCAGCGATCTCCGTCCCACAGCGAAGCAGCTCTGGCGACCGCCGGTTGGGTTGCTGGAACTTGGAATCCTGAATGCGGTCGGACTCCATCCCATGAAGACCAGGGACGGCAGAGGAACTTCGGACACGTTCTGTGTAGCCAAATACGGTCACAAATGGGTTAGAACTCGAACCCTGATCGACAACCTGAGCCCCAAGTATAACGAGCAGTATACTTGGGAGGTGTTCGATCCGGCCACCGTCCTGACCGTCGGTGTATTCGACAACGGCCAGCTCGGCGAAAGGGGAGGAAAGGATTTGAAAATAGGCAAGGTCAGAATCCGAATTTCGACCCTCGAAACTGGCCGGGTTTACACACATTCATATCCTTTGCTAGTCCTGCACCCAACAGGGCTGAAGAAAATGGGTGAGATTCATTTAGCAATAAGGTTCACTTGCACATCTTTCGCCAACATGTTGTACCAGTACGGCAAACCACTCCTGCCCAAAATGCACTACGTCAGGCCATTTAGCGTTATGCAACTAGACATGCTCCGTTTCCAGGCCGTCAACATTGTGGCTCTCCGGCTAGGAAGGTCCGAGCCGCCGCTGCGAAAGGAGGTGGTGGAGTACATGTCCGATGCAGATTCCCATCTGTGGAGCATGAGGAAGAGCAAGGCCAATTTCTTCCGGCTGATGACGGTCTTCTCGGGGCTATTCGCCGCCGGGAAGTGGTTCACAGACATATGCATGTGGAAGAATCCGATCACGACGGTTCTCGTCCACGTGCTTTACTTGATGCTGGCTTGCTTCCCGGAGCTGATACTGCCCACGAGTTTCCTCTACATGTTTCTCATCGGAGTTTGGAATTACCGGTACCGGCCGAGGTACCCACCTCATATGAACACCAAGCTGTCACAGGCTGAGGCGGTTCATCCCGACGAGATGGACGAGGAGTTCGACACCTTCCCGACGAGCAGGAGTCCTGATTTGGTCAGGATGAGGTACGACAGGCTGAGGAGCGTCGCCGGGAGGATTCAGACGGTGGTCGGAGATGTGGCGACGCAAGGGGAAAGGTTTCAGGCGCTGCTGAGCTGGCGGGACCCGCGCGCCACAGCCGTTTTTATCACGTTCTGTCTTGTGGCTGCGGTTGTTCTGTTTGTGACGCCGGTTCAGGTGATTGCGGCTCTGGCGGGGTTTTATGTGATGAGGCACCCGAGGTTCCGGTACCGGACTCCGTCGCCGCCGATTAACTTCTTCCGCCGGCTGCCTGCTCGGTCGGATAGTATGCTGTAAAAAGAATTGGATGTCTGACTCTGACCGCTGTGGTGTAAATGGACCGCTACCTCTTCGGCAGGCCCAGTTCTATTGGGCCAACAGTGGTCCTGTCTATTCCCGTTATTTACTTTTGGGCAGTTCATGGTGCTGCAGCCCAAATGAGGTACTTAATATCTTTTTATTCTTCTCCCTCTTCGGATGATTTAAGTTGTACTGCGAACTACTAATCTAGTATAATTTTTTTCAATTATGAATTCAATTATCCCGCACGAAACAAAGATATATAATGAACTAGAATTTGTTTAATATTGTGATTACGATAGGCGCTTAGGTTTTATATAGTGATCCAATTATCCAAAATGTTTAACAAATGTTGATCATTTCTTAATCCACCAATTAAAAGTGGCAACCAAGAGATGGTCAAGGTGGTTAGGCCATGGAATAGCATCATCATGCTGCTCTAGGGGATTTGATTCTCACAATTCATACTCGGTGAAAAAGCTTTTTAGTGTCTGATAATGGAATTGTTTTTCTGAATCGACGCTCTCATGAATTTGCCAGATATTCATGAGATTGAGATAATTTCGGATGTATCCGACACTTCTCCTTTATAAAATCTGAAAATAACACACCTCAGCAAGTCAACAACGCATATTAGTGTTAGCTGCACCAAGGGCAACTGATTTTTTTTAATCCAAAATCCAACAACTAACAACAGCCAACAAAAACGTGCAAACAATTGTTCTATGCCAACCTTACTACGTGCAGTCAAGTTTCATGGCTTGTACCAAATTCATCCTCCCAAAATTGCTAGAAAAACCAGGCCTCAGTCCAGTACCCAGAAATCATACATTCAAACCTTTCAATCTCCCTTCACCCACAGAGACAAAAATAGATGGCGATTCCCGTGCCCAGAAGAAGGCAATCCAATAACAAGCTGTCCAAGAAAACAGAGTCCAGCTGCATAGACCTCTGTTCCCTCCACACAATCTTCCTTCAAACCCTATCAAGAATCCCTCTAGCCATCTTCCTCCTGATCCTCGTCTACATTTGGTCTTCTTCCACCACCATCATGTCGGGTCACGTCGTCCACCTCTGCCTCTCGTCGCGAAAGCTCAACGATCTCTACTGCCTCTCTGCCGGCACCCAGCCCCCTGAATTCGACTTCCCACTCCTCCCCAACACTTCCTCTGCCTCCTCTTCCAACTCTTCCTCCACCATTTTCGACGACGGTAACAGTACCACCGCGAATGGTACTCTTACCGTCGACATTGCTCCTCCTCCACTCAGCGAAGCTGAGCTAGCCAATCAAGTCATACAACAGCATCTCCGCCTCCACCGATCCTGGTCCTCCAATTCATCATCATCGTCGTCATCCTGCGACGAAAGAGGGATCTATGTGTACGATCTCCCAGCGAAGTTCAACAAGGACCTAACCGGTCAATGTGGAGAAATGATGCCATGGGCAGGGGAGGATTTCTGCAAGTACTTCTCAAACGGAGGGCTCGGCAACCCAATCGAAAAGCTCGGTCGAGGCTGGTACGACACTCATCAATACTCCCTCGAGCCGATCTTCCATTCGAGGATCCTGAACCATCCTTGCAGAGTCCACGACGAGGATCGAGCCAAGCTCTTCTACGTTCCATACTACGGCGGCCTAGACATCCTGAGATGGCACTTCAGGAACGTGTCGAACGACGTGAAGGACACGTTGGGGCTCGACTTGATGAAATGGCTCGAGTCGAGGAAGTCATGGAAGTCGAAATCCGGTAAGGACCATGTCTTTGTGTTGGGGAAGATCTCGTGGGATTTCAGGAGGCGGCCCGATTCGGAGTGGGGGACCCGGTTCCTGCAATTGGACCAGATGAAGAACCCGACCAAGCTTATGATCGAGAGGCAGCCGTGGGAGGTCAACGACATTGGAATCCCACACCCGACTTACTTTCACCCGCATTCGGACGAAGACGTGCTCGCGTGGCAGCTACGCGCAATGCGATCGCCACGTAGGAGCCTGGTCAGCTTCGCTGGAGCTGACCGACCCGGTCAGACCGAGAGCATCCGGTCGATTTTGATCGAGCAGTGTGTCGGTTCGACCGATCAGGGTCGGTGCAGGTTTCTGAATTGCAGCCTGGGTGGGTGTGATCGACCCGAATCGGTGATCGAGCTGTTTATGGAGTCGGAGTTCTGCCTCCAGCCACCAGGGGACAGTCCGACGAGGAAGTCGGTGTTCGATTCACTCGTTTCTGGGTGTATTCCGGTTTTGTTTAGTCCTTTCACGGCTTACTATCAGTATCCCTGGCATTTGCCCGTGGAGCACGAGAAGTACTCGGTGTTTGTGGATGAGGAAGAAGTGAGGAAGAGGAAGGTGAATGTGGTGGAGAGGCTGATGAAGGTTTCGGTTAGGGAGAGGGAAGATATGAGGAGGTTTATAGTGTATGAGTTGTTGCCCGGGTTGGTCTATGGAGATTCTGAGTCTCAGCTTTCCAAGTTTCAGGATTCGTTTGATATTACTGTGAATAATCTTATTGAGAGGGTTAACAGTTTGCTATGACAGAGGGTTTCAAGGGGTTTGTTTTTTGTTTTGGGTTCTTTTTATATTTTGAAGTTGGTTTTGTGAGGGTTTTGGTAGTTTATTTAGTTGTTTTGGTTGTTATCTTTGTCTCTGAGTTCATTGAGAGAATTGTATACTAAAGAACTAAAACAAGAGAGGAGTTTTGACAGCAATGGAAGTCAAGGCAAGTCAAGTGCATTTTATTTCAAATTTTAGCTGGAGATCAGAGTATACTTGAAAAGAACGAAATGACATGAATCACAATTATTCAATTAAATACAAGTATGATTAACTATAAATATCAAGCATATTCATTATTTTTGTTTTAAAAAGTTATAAGGCAAATGAATGGCGTATATCCGATGTAAGATTAACAAAATTTTCTTTTTATTATTATTACGATACATTTTGTGATTAAGATTTGTGGAGAAATTTCTATGTCAAAAGTTTTAACATTTTTAAAAACGGCACCACTCTATTTTTGTATAACATTGTTAAACCTTGTTTTATAATGTTTGTAAACTTTTCATTTGCTATTTTAATGAAAGACAAAATAACATAGTTTTGTTCTTTATGTATATATTATCAAACTATTTCATATTACAACAAATTATGCAACAAAAAACGGTAACGAAACATGTGATTGGTTAATAAAATTTATAATATTGCGTCAAAATTTTGTATTGTGCGTGTGGATATAAATGGAATGCAGGTTTGTATCTCTTAAATAGCATTTAACAATAAAAGTTTATATATGTCACTCTTCTTATAAACAAATGGAATTGCATATTATTATGATAAGATTACATGAAAAAATAAAATGTGTGCATGTTGTGGAAATTTTCTCACCCATAAATTTTGAAAACGATTGAGACATATTAGACAAAAAGTTGTTAGAAAAGCACAGACTTAAGTACTCTAGTAATATTAATTTGATCCACCACTGTAACCACCAACTACTGGTAACTGATGTGCATCACCATGCATCAGTTAAATCAAGTTAATTGTATGCGCAATTATTCTGTCCTTCTTAGAAAACGAGTAGCTAGTTTCCAAGTGTGTAGGACAAGTAAAATCCTCCTGCACCTATCCTATAGTCCTACTCGTGAAAGCCAACAAATTCTACATTTAATTAGTACATAACCACACAGAGAATGAGAATCCCAGCAACGGACCATGAATTGAATACTCTTGACAATCTTGAATTCCAGAATCCCCACTTCATCATGGAAACTCTGTCCTCCAACATCTCCCTAGCCCTACTCATCTTGATCCTCGTCTACATTTGGTCCACTTCCACCACCATCATGTCAGGAAACTCCGTCCATGTTTGCGTTTCATCGAGAAAACTCAACAATCTCTATTGCATCTCTGCAGGGACAAAGCCTGGATTCCATTTCCCGCTCCTCCCCAATACCTCCATTGGTACAATCCACAACGGTAATAGTGTCATCATTGATACTCGTAGCATCGATGTTGCTCCACTAGCCATTGAATCAACAACTATTGGTACTCTTCTTCCAATTGTAGGAACTGGTACTAAACGTGATGAAGATCATCATCGGGATTTTGTTGTAGACGAGGACGTTATTGAGCAACATCTTCGACTGCATCGATCGTGGTCTTCCGAACACACCGGATCAACTTCATCTTGTACGGGAAGAAGGGTTTATGTGTATGATTTGCCAACAAAGTTCAACAAGGACTTATTAATTGGTCGATGTGGAGACAAGTGCTTTGATAATGGAGGATTAGGCAAACCAATTGAGAAGCTTGACAAAGGTTGGTATGACACTCACCACTACTTTCTAGAGCCGATTTTTCATTCAAGGGTTCTAAACCATCAATGTAGGGTCCACAATGAAGATGAGGCCATGCTCTTTTATGTTCCTTACTATGGTGGACTTTGGCATTTGAAAAATGTGTCAAGGGACACATTGGATTTGGATTTGATCAAGTGGCTTGAGTCCAAGAAATCATGGAGCCACAACTTTGGAAAAGATCATGTCTTTGTATTGGGTTTGGGGACAACAAGGTTTCTGCACCTTGCCCAAATGAAGAATCCAACAAAGCTTTTGATTGAAAGAGAGCCATGGGATGTGAACCAGATTGGAATCCCATCTCCAACATACTTCCACCCACACTCTGATGATGACATACTCTCATTGCAACTCCAAGCCATGAGATCCCCTCGTCGAAGCCTAGTCAGTTTGATTGGTTCAACCTGGTCTAACCAATCGTCTGACAGTAATAATATCATATCAATGTTGATCAAGCAATGTGTTGGATTACCTACCGAGCTATGCAAGTTCCTAGATTGCGGCTCAGGAGAGTGCAATAGGCCTGAATTGGTGATTGAGCTATTCATGGAGTCGGAGTTTTGCCTTCATCCTCCAGGTGACAGGTTTACGAGGAAATGGTTGTTCGATTCACTGGTTTCGGGTTGCATTCCAGTATTATTTAGTCCTTTCACGGCTTACTATCAATACCCATGGCATTTGCCTGAGGAAGATGAGAAATACTCGGTGTTTTTAGATCAAGAAGAGGTTATGCAACAAAGAGTTAATGTTGTGGAAAGGGTGATGAGGACTTCTTCAAGGCATAGAGAGGACATGAGAAGGTTTATAGTTTATGAGTTGTTGCCTGGACTAGTGTATGGAGATTCGAGCTCGCAGCTTGTCAAGTTTCGAGATTCATTTTCCATTACTCTGGATAATCTCATAAAGTGGGTAAATCGATTGGAATAAGTGCTAGGTGTTGAGGATGATCCTCTCTCCTTAGCTAAATGTATCAATTTACCATTAGTATTCTTCTTGTATATCACTTTGTAACCACATTATCTACGGTATATGTTAATAATATCATTTGTAGTAACCAATTAATATAAATGTCTACATCCCTAAATGATATCAGAAATCTGCATGGCTAAAAATTTCAAAATTCGAAATTTCTTCTCCTTCTTTTTCACATTGTTAGATGTTCAAGTGCACATTTCGTATCTTTCCATGAAGTATAAGTTTTTTGAAACAAATTTTCCAAAATATGAAACATCTTAATAAAATTTCCAACTAAACAACTTTTTGTTTGCTTCGCATTTACAAGTATAAAATATACTTTTTTGCAAACTCAATACGAGAGACACATAAACAAGATACTCTAGATATATGTTGGAACGAAATCAAATATCATCTGCTTGACTGTTTAGTTACATTCATAAATTATACCTTGTCAAAATTATGGAATAAATATCTATGTTGAGCCAATAAAGGTGAGGCTAAAGCCCTCCCACGTTGTTCCTTAGCTTTGATTACTTGCTCTAGAAGAATTCAGAAAGAAAACAGTAGCCAATGTCAACCTTTCAGACTTCAGGTATCAATATTCTTCTAGAAACTAATAAAAGAACTGCAATATACAAACACCTGGAAATGGAATAAATATCTCAATAATGCTCAAATGTGCAAAGATGGGCATTCGAGTATGTATGATGAATGTCATGAAGAAGATGCTTGACGCTGAACAATAATAACGGGGACATTAATCATTTCACACCCCAGATTATCATGATTCACTAATATATATGCTTTTTTTTATACTTCCTATTGATAGGGATGCGTGGGAAGGAGAAATTTATTCTAATATTCCAATATTAAATCTTTTAGTTGGAAATTAATGTGGTATCGTTAGAGTAAATTTTATTCGTTAATTTGATAAATAAGTAAATTTTTTAATATTTATAAATTTGAAAAGTTATATGTTTAGATTATGTTTTTAGTGCATTCATTTTTGTGGCTGCATATGCCATGCATGCATTCACTTATAATGATCATTTGAGCAGGTAAATTATGTTAAAATGATGTTAATTGTTTGGACACAAAATGTGTGAATTAATACAAAGATACAAGCAAGGTTGTTAAACTCCTATCAGACTCCTGATTGCACCTGATCCGATCTAAGTCGGGCTTCAAAATAGCGTCCAGAAAGCCCCCGATCGACCCCTTAAGAGGGAGAAAAAGAGGAGAAAAAAGAGGAAGAGGAACGAAAGAAGGGAGATGGTAGGTGAGTCATGAAGGTTAGGTGGACTTATTTTGTGAAAAATAAGTTTTTAATAGATGCATGTAAGATAAATTTTATTTCAGACATTAAATCTTTAGAAATTATCTTATTTGTATATATAATTAGAAAACGTCTAAAACGGGTCAAACCAATCAGATCCTGATCAGACCATTAAACATCAAACCCATTAATTGACCGGCTCAATTACTTAAACTCGTTTGACAACCTTGGATACAAGGCATTTTGCCTTTTCACCCAAATCGTCATCATCGTCGTCATCCCCTAATTCCGCCTCAAATTCATCGCTTCCGTAGGGCATTAACCGACAAACACTAGTTGGCTTAGCAACCTCCACGTTCAACCCTCTCGTGGGCAACCTCCACGTGTCTCCCCATTCATACATGCAAAAATGGGAAAGATCCAAGCCAAGCAGCATCCCAGAAACTCAATAGCCAATTTCCCAAATCCCCCATTCCATTCACATCTGTGAAAAAGGCTGAGATTGAGAACATACGAAGGCCGCATCCTTATTCCTTCATCCCTTTTGGCGGCGTCTTTGGTTGGGCCCTACATTCCCTGGCGCGGCTTTCTCTCTATATAAACAAGACAACCCAGATGCTCTCTTCCCCAATTCGCACCCTCTCCCGTCAAAATCCCATCTTTGCTTCCTCTCCAGCTGCTTCTCTTCTACGCGCTCCTAGTCAGTCGTTTCCTTCTTCGTTGGGTTTGTCGCCGATCGTTTCCCGTTCTCCGCATCACCCGTCGCGGTCTTTGAACTCTCCGCCGCTGTCGCTTTCCTCTTTGTCTCCTAATTCTCTGAGGTTCGATCGCGCTATGGCCAGCAACTCCGACTCTCCCCAGTCCATCTACGACTTCACTGTCAAGGTAGTAAATTGAACTCAAAGGCGCTTTCTTTTTTACTTGGGGTTTCGAATTGATTCGGCTATTGTGATGCCTTGCCAATTGGTGCTACTGGGTGTTTGTGGGTTTCTGGGTTTAGGTGCGGAAACCAGCTAATTGAACCCAAAGTTCAGCGGGACTTTGTGTCTATTGCTCTGTTCGATTCTGTGTATCTTGTGGTTAGTTCGGATTGGCTTCAGAGTTTCAGTGGTTTCTCAATGTTCTAAGTTCATTTATGCTGTTTGCAGGATGCTAGGGGGAAAGATGTTGATCTCGGTATCTACAAGGGGAAGGTTCTTATGATTGTTAATGTGGCTTCTCAGTGGTAATGTTCTACTTTTTCCGCTAGAAAGTTAATTAGTTGCTGTAAAAGCTCTGCATAGAACATGGGAAATTACTGGTTCTTTGTATCAGCCATTCTCCGGGGTAGTTGGTTTCGGATGAACCAAATGGTAGATTGTAGGCTTAGCTGTGGCGCCTGAAATAGAGCTATCTATGTGGACGATGAATTGTTAACCAGTTTGTTCGTCGGTTGTTTGAACTTGATGCAGCGGCTTGACCAATTCCAACTACACCGAGCTCACTCAGCTGTACCAGAAGTACAAGGATCAAGGTGGTTGTCTGTTCTCTAATTTCTTATAGTTCAATCACACTAAATCCTATTCCTTCTTAGCCTGGCGGTCTATAGCCTCCTTCTAAAACAAATATGTTCATTGGTTGTTGTGCGCCTGTGCTGAGAGCAGGTTTGGAGATCTTGGCTTTCCCTTGCAACCAGTTTGGATCTCAGGAACCTGGAAACAATGAACAAATTGTGGAGTTTGCTTGTACACGTTTCAAGGCTGAGTACCCCATTTTCGACAAGGTGAGTTATCTTGCTTCCTTCCTTAAAAAACAAGATCAGTTTTTGGGTCAATTCTCACTTATGGAAACGATGTTGCAGCGTTGTACTGCTCAACATACCTTGTGGATTCCAATTTGTGTCTTGACTTTTTGCATCAAAAACTGGTGTAGGTTGAGGTGAATGGTAAAGAAGCTGCTCCGATCTACAAGTTCCTGAAGTCAAGCAAAGGTGGACTGTTTGGGGATGGTATCAAGTGGAACTTCACCAAGTTCCTTGTTAACAAAGAGGGCAAGGTTGTGGAGCGCTATGCTCCCACTACTTCCCCTCTCAGCATTGAGGTAAGGGAGATGCCTCTTTCCCCTGCCATCAAACACTCCTGATTTCGTCTTCTTTGTCTTGAACTCTGATTGGGTTACTAACTCAAACATGCTTGTTTTTCTCCTTGTTTTGGCATTTGCAGAAAGATGTGAAGAAACTCCTTGGGATTGCTTAGGGGATTCGAACTAGAGTGTACACTCTGTCTATCAGACCATTGGACGGGTTTATGGTTAAATAAGGAAGAAACTAGCTTCAATAATGCACAGCTGCTTTTGTAAAGCATTGTAAAACTAGACATCTGAGTTGCTTGTATGTTGTTGCATGTCTGGAAAGAGTGTAATAATACAGTTACAGTTATCACCTCCCCTTCGTTCCATCATTTGCCACCTTTCTACGCAATTTAGCTGGTCTGGATGGCTTATCCGAACAGTAACCTGGGTTCTGGAAACGTTTCCTTGCCAAGAAGAAAGTCACAGATAATTACACCGGAGAATTCATGTTCTTTCCAACACTGTAAGATTTCATTGTCAAGGTTAGTCTCTCTGGTTTCGGCGTATGCTTGACCAACGAATCTCTCTCTCTCTCTCTCTCTCTCTCGCTCGCTCGTTTTAAGAATCCTAAGGGGTGGGGTGAGGAGAACGATGACTACTTGGATTCCTTCGCACCAGGTTGCTTCCACGGGTTTTACTTCTGTTCGTTCTTCCATGATTCACTGATATCTGGATATCACTGTAATGACTGAAACTTGACTGGAATTATGGTAACTTCTGAACTGTTGAATCTCATGAAACGTTGGGCATTGGTATTGGCTATGGTAAGCAAACTCATCGAGTTTCTGTCTTGATGTTCTACTGGTTTTGCCTGGTAAAATGGTGCTTTCAGCGTCAGCCAAACGACTTTAGGGCATCTGCTTCTAGAACTAATTGTCAATGTTGACTGATGCAGGACGCCAAGGGAAATGATGTAAACCTCAGTATCTACAGAGGGAAACTTTCTTGTGAAATTTGGCAATGTTGAATTTTGGTGTCAAATTCTCTTTCTTGCAGTGGGATGACCAACTCGAACTACACAGAGCTGAATGATCTGTACCAAAAGTACAAAGATCAAGGTTAAACAACTTCATAAACACTTGGTGAAAAGTATTGAATCTTACATTGGTTCTATGAGAACCTGGATGAATCTCCACTTAATATTAACACATGGCTATTCCTTTTGGGAGGGATGTACAGGCCTGGAGGTACTGGCATTCCCTTGCAACCAGTTTGGTGATGAAGAGCCAGGAAACAATGACGAGATTCGATTCAAATCACTGATCCCCATCTTTGACAATGTAGCATACATGCATTATAGTTTCTAAAGGGGTGGAAAGGAAGTTGCTTTTCTTTTTTACTGATTTGGTGGGGTTGTCATGATGATCAGATTCAGATAGAGGTGAATGGTGAGAATGCATGACCACTGTTACAAGTTCTTGAAGACGGGAAAGGGGGAATCTTTGGTAACGACATCCAACAGAACTTTGGCAAGTTTCTGGTCAACAAACATGGTCAAGTAGTTGATCGTTACTACCCAACTACTTCTCCCCTGAGCATTGAAGTAAGCAACACCTCCTAGTAAATGTATAGTAGGATTCCCCGTCGTTATGGTTTTCGTGGGATTCTCATGCTTGGGACATCAATTATTGTTTGACAGTACGACATAAAGAAGCTGCTGGGAGCCTCATGAGAGAATTCTGCTACTGATGAATAAGCTCTTATCATCAACATAGGAATTCAATTCTAGCACGTGATGTTTGTTTCCTTCTTCCTGCAACTGCTGCTGTTGCTGTCCTTTAGTATTGTGTTAGAAACAAAGTTTCTAACGGATTTGATATTTGGGGATTAGGGTTTATACGAATAGAATTAGGGATTGAGATTGGGGATTTGGGGAAAAAGAAGAATAGAATAGAGAATCGGCCGAGGCCTTGGAGGGATAGGGATCGAGAATTGAGAGGATAGGGAGAGATTATTTGATAATTCTTTCTTGACTGATCGTAATGTAGACTCAAAGTACATATTTATAGGGAACACTAGGAAACCCTAATAATAAACCTAATCCTACTAAATAACTACTAACCTTATTAATAATTACCCTAATAATAATTATATTAATAAATAAAGAAACCCTACATAAATCGGTTTCTAACATATTGTGTCCAGAGATTCTCTGGGACTCCCATGCATTCTAATTGGACGTGACATGCCAAGCTTGTGGCTACAGAAATTTAGCAATGGAATGTGTAAAACTTGTTTCAATTTATGATCTTGCTTTTCCTATCTGCTCTGTCATCTGTAACCTTTTGTGGTCTGTGTTCTACAAGAATGCATGTTAGATCCAACTCAAGTTCTTTCATTGCATACTTGCATACCATTACCAACGGCTTTCAAACCAGCCATTGCTGAAATTTGTCCAAGCTCGGAGCAAGAGCGAGAGATGAGAAACAAGATGGGAGAAAAATTTAACGAAGAGGAATTAACTGAACTTTGCTACTGCCAAGTGCCAATCACCAAAGACTGATCCACATAAATACCCAGAAACCGGGAGACTTAAAAATAATGGGAAAACAAATCCTAAACAGTTGGAAGCGAGCCCTTAAAAATGATCGACTTTTTGTTACAGACTAGAGGTTAGCACAAACCGCATTCCACGTCCCTACCCTCAAATGTTGGGGAAGAGAGAGAAAAGAGCTGAAAGGTGAAATCTAGATGCTCACAAAGGAGATCTTTTCTTCTTCAACTACTTGTACAACAACACATCTGTACAAAATTGCCATGTGCTTGTTGCTGCAGCCAGTCATTCATCCGCGTGTCAAATCAATGTCCATGTGAGGGTTGTTTCTCAGTTCAACAGATCGTGAACCAGGCCAGACCCCCATGGGTGAAGGAGTGTAGTGATGCTGCTGCTGCTGTGTTGTAGTAGAGGGAGGAGGAGCACTAGCAGGGGTAGTAGGGGTACTAACAGCTAATTTCTCATTGTTCCGTTGGCTTTTATCACTCTTAGGCCGCCCAACTGGTCTTTCGGGCTTCTTTGTATTACCATGTACAAAACTGCAGATCACGACCTGTACCGAAACCCCAGTTTCAAGTTAAGCAGGGGCCTGAGGTTCACATTGGTAATGTTCATAAACCAGACTTTCAGAACAGCTGATATACGATACCTGGACTAGGCTCGCAGCAGTAAGCATGCCGATTGCACCACCAATGACATGACCATCAGGAGTAGAGAGAGAAGCGCTCATCCCGCCTGTTCGATTACGTGGACCTCCATCTTCAGCCACCAAGTAAGAACCCGACAAACACAGTATCTCGAATCGGCCCTGTAACAGCTAAAAACCAAATAAGTCCACGCATTCGAAGGATAATGATGAGCACAACAATAACTGCTATAGATGATACCCAAAGGCTAAGGGCAGAAGCCAGTTCCTTTCTAGTAGAGAAGATCAGGAAATAGGTCTGTCCAAGCTTGCAGCACCATTCAATGAAAACATACAGGAGTAAATGCTGATGAACGTATTTTAATACTTATCAGGATGCCAGAATGAAGAGCCAGGCTACTAACTTGGAAAGCCTCAGTCCACCGTTGGTCATCAACTCAAAGTGATAAAAATAAAATAATAAAAAATTGTACTTATAATTAAATAGACATGACAATCAAGACGGGTAGTATGTTCTCTAGAGTGTCCTTATCAGAAGCCCCAAAGAGCAATATAATAACTAAACTGAAATCTAGTGTGGCTTTTTTCACTAAGACGACTACCAACGCAACAACTAAAGTCAAAGTCGTTGTTTTACTAACAATTTACCAAAGATGCCATTGGAGGCAAGAACTTCGACAACTGCCTACACTGAGTCATCTTCAACAGACAAATCCACAAAGTGAAATCCTTTAAAGTCAAGATCTCGCTTGATATTAGCAATCCTAAATCTTTACCAACAAAAAGGTACTTGCCACCAAAACCTGGTAGCACAATGAAGCACTCGATTGCAAGCCTAATTAAAGCAAGACGGGAACATTGTGCTATCCATCTTTCAACTATGTCTACCACTAACAACAGACATCGATGTTCAAACTCACATCGTTAACTATGTCAAACTATGGCTGAGTAATGTCATGTCACAGGTTGCTTAGATGTGAATGATCTTGTAATATACAACCAGCCCTGAAAAATATTATCCTAAACACAAACCACAAGGCACACACTAAAAAGAGTAAATTCACTTAAAATCAGAATCCGTTCTACTCTTGCTTCCATTATATACCCAAAATTTCTAAATCATTTCGTATCACCAGGGAAACAGAAGAGCCTCTTGTTACATCAGTTTGAACTACTTTCAACCTTCTATAAATTAAAGATGCTGAATTTACGCTTATGAGTATTGAAAGTATTGATTGGAAAGTAAAACTAATAATGAAACAAAAACATGGATATAGGGGAACACAAGCATGCCCTTCAAATCCTAATAGTCCAAGAGTCGACTGATGCAGACGATTAAGCAATTGAAACAAGCAATGAGAGAGGGATATGAATGCTTTAACCTCGTATGTGACAGAAGGCCCTGAAGATGCTGGTTGGCGCAATGTGACAGAGGAAGCTGTACCAGTTCCAGACAAGACACAGACAGCCCTAGGCCTCTGTTGCGCGAATGACAATATTTTTGCAACTATATCCTGCAGATGGAAGGGGGAAAAGTGTCATGCTACCAAAGACCAATGCCAGATTTCCATGACAATCTCACAAAAGATAAATAATCCATATTGATTCAGGAGCTGTCTTATGGAATGGAATGGGCATTTTATAAAATGAGAAAGCAGTTGCATGGATGAGTAAAAGAAAAATGAAAGAGACAATACCTCCCCAGCTAAGATTCTGATCACATGTGGTGCGAAAGCCAGGCCTGCAGAGTTGTTCATCCATTCACCTAGCCCATCAAACAAGTTTTAATGAGAATATGCAAGAATAAGACACCTCTGATCATCCGGATTAATTTCAAGCAACAAGGTTATATGGCAAAGTGATATTTGTGCTTCTTATTGCAGAAGCCACTAAAAAAATAGACTGATGAAACAAACATTATCACGCTACATAAATGAGTTTCTCAGTCTTCACAAGTGCAACGCAGAATATGCGACAGTCACTTATAACTAAGGGAACTAAGGTGCGATCTGTTCATGTCCAACACTATCAACTTGGAACAAAACATCCTACCAGCACTGGAGCACTAGCCCTCATATAACCCACCTCAATCATTAGAGCTTGAAAGTTACATGATAATCACCTAGATTCGCCAGTCGTTGCTTTCTCCCTGTGCCCGGTGGCCGCCCTCTACGCTTAGATGGGCTCAATGGATCTTGCTCTGATGATGGTTGTTGTTTAGGCTTTACCAGCACAGGAGATAAAGCAAGGGAAACCTGTCCATCAGGGGCATATTTCCGTGGCCTTCCTCTTTTCTTCTTCACCGGCTGCTCACTCACAGCAACCCCAGGTGGAGGAGCACCCATATCAATATCAATGCCATGGCCGCCAGGGCCACCATGACCAGAATTCACATTTGAGTGCTCTATTGAGAATGCAGGTGCAGATGAGCCAGGCCTGGCATTGTTTTGAATCTGAAAGTTTGGAGTTGGGGAGGATCTGAACTGGGGTGGAGGGTGCAATGCGCCAGGTTGTGACCCGTATCCCCCAGACCCACCATAACCAGGCCCCCTATGAATGTAATACGGATTTGACCCACTAGACAATGCCATAGCTTCTCTTCCATCCATGCATTTACTAAGGAAAATGGTACAAATATCACAATAGTACAAGCTCCAAAAATAATCAAGAGCTTCTGACTGATAAAGATGGTGCTTTTAAGGCTTCCTTATCCTACTAGACTTCGCAACCTAATGAGAAACGGCAAGAGGGATTCCAGAACCAAAGGGTTTTTCAGGGGTTTTTCGTGCAAGAGAACTAAAAACGAAATGAAGCTGGGAACTCTAATCAGAACGTTTCGCCGCCACACAGGGAGGAACTCAAAAAGATCTGCTTTCACAATTAAACCGCCATCAACAGAAACCCAGATGAGAACCCTCAATCTCAAAATTCCGAACTCGCCGAAATTGTGGGAAATGGGAACGAAAACGAAAGAAGAGAAACAAACACTCTAAAGAACGAGAAGCACGGTTTCCTCCAAGAATACAGCAGACCGCTAACTCAAAGCTAGAGGGCCAACAACAGAAATGCAGAGAGCCGGCGGAAAACAAAAGCTCAAAGACGGCAACTTTGAGCAGCGAAAGTAGAGAACAGCTTGAGAGACCAGAAACCCACGTACTCCTAACAACCAACCCCAGATGAACAAAACCCTAGATTTCCCTTCTGCTTCCAAATCTAGGGTTTTGAGAAAAAAGCGAAAATGCAGGGAGGGAGAGCGGGGGAAGCTGGTGGTAAAATGAAGAGAGGAAAGAGAGGGCAAGAAAAGACAAAGACACTCTGAGCCAAAGAGATAGAGAAAGAAAGGAATTGAAAAATATTGAATCTACTCCTGAAGCTTTTGAATTAAAGAGAGAGAAAGTTAAGGGTTTGGGTTTTTTCTTCTTCTTTCCTACTCTCTCTTTCTGTTCAATTTCAATACCAAACAACTGAACAAGTAAAGGCCTTTGCTTTGCCCTTTGGTTCGTTTAGTAGACCAGAGAGTCGAGAGGAGTGAAGGGAAGGAGAGAAGGAGTGCTTTATTTTGACTAAAAATGAGTGAGTTAGAGAGAGAAAGTGGACAGGACAGACAGAGTTGGTTCAAGGGCAATGGTGGCCTACCAAAGTACCAAACCCTTTTGCACTATTATGTCACTTTCAGATCACCCAATTTCATGACTCACGCCACTCTCTCTCCCTCTCTTCAAAGTAGACTCCAGCCCAAAGTTTTCCAGTTTTCCTCCCCAGCCCCAAATTTCATCAACCAACCATTCTCTCTCTATCTCTAAAACTTTCTTGTTATTTGGATGTGTAATGATACTTTTTTCCTGCCTGTGGTTTACATCTTACTATATTCATGTAAGTTCACAAGAGGGTCACTGGAAATGTGGGGCTGGGAGAGGAGAAGAAAGGAGAGGAGAAGAAAACAAAAGAATGGTCTAACAGACAAAGGGATGCCAATCTACAATAATGATAGCAGTACAGTACCCCAATGGAAAATGGTATGGAGCTGAGCTCACAGGAATGGCAAGTATCAGCCCTTCAAGCCAAATTGATATAGTTTATCTAGGCACCTTGCTGTTTAATTTCACCTACATCCAACAATTTAGAATTCATTTCATTCACTTTCAAAATTCAAGTTTAGGGTTTTGTCCTTTCAATTCGGGAGCGATGTTAACTTGATAATTGTCAATATGAGATCTTGCTTTGTAAATGTAAGTTGCGTCATTTTCATAAGTAATAATTTTGCGTAAATTAAATCATTGAAATCACAAATCGCATAATCTGACAATATTCGAACTCAGTGATGGGAGTCTCTAAATTCACTATAGGAGCCAAGAAGATATAGTCCACTGTTGTCCAAATATGGGAGAGAAGGTTGAGGTGTTGAATGGTCACCTATATGGCAATTTGGAAGTGAGTAGATATGGGCAATCCATTGGGTATTCACATGTCACTGATGATGGAGCCACAATTATTTAAAAAGCAGATTGATAACAAGACTGGAATAGAGACAACAATAATCTCAGGGGGGATGCATTCTGTTTTTTTTTTTTTTTTTTTGTCCCTCAAATTGACAAATTCTATTAATTCTAACACCAATTAACTCAAAAAAAAATTAAAAAAGAGTTGGATTCTCTAAATGGCAAATCTTTTCCAGATTAGCATATAATCAAATTCGTTAAGATTTTGTAGGCTCTATCGGTATTATGCGCAGATTCATATTTATCTCTAAACAGTATTACCAACAATCATAACAAACAAAGCAATATAGGAGTTGGAGAATATTTATGGACCCCATTTTGGCATTATGAGAGAGTGTTATGGGAGCCTTGTACAGTTTGGTAATGATCAAGCAAACTGGTAATGTAATGTGAAAGGGAAGAAGATGAGATCCCTTTTGTCTTCAGTTTGAAGGCCACCCTACCCAGTTTCTCTCTTTGTCCCATGCCAGATATGTATTATATGCTGTTAGATCATAGCATGATGTGTCCAGTTTATCACGATCATTATCTTTTTCTAATCTTATTAGTTTTAGTAGCCATCTAAAATAATGAGATGAGCTATATTCTCAAGTGGACCTATGATTGGGACTTCAAGCATACTTGAGAAATCATTATGTACATTTGAACAAGATGATCGTTGTTAAAAGAAGTCACATAGCAACGATGATGTGTATAGGAAAATATATATACCGAGAGAGAAACATTGCGCCTCACATAGCGATCACATCGAACCAAACAATTGTTTATACATAAATATAATTTAACGTCAAATATTGTATTTAAATATGAGTATTTGTTATTTTGTTTAGAATGTCGTATTTTATTCACATTCTGAATCTAGCCGGTATAAAATCAACTCTGAGAACCTCTCTTTTCTTCTCTCGATCCAACAAGACCTCAAAGTAACCTTATTTAGTGACTAGAACTAGAAGGGATGAGCATGGTTTGATAAACTTTCAGTTATTCCATGGGTTCGATTCCGAGACCTCAAAACACACGGAAACGAAGAAGCTAACATCGCTAGATTTTGACAGTCCAATCTAATACTTGAATTCTTGATAGATGCCATAGTTGGATGAACTTTCAGTTATTCCATAGGAGGGCAACTGTAAGGCTGGCTTCCCCTTTCCGGAATAAGTCCATGGCTTGTGTTATTGAAAAGGAGAGTTATTCCCATATTGAGCCGTAATGGTTCGTGCATGAGTTCAAGTGCACATGAAAAAAGCCACCACTTTGAGGGAGCTTTTGGCTTTGTGAGTTAAAAAAGGCGTTTATGTCCAGAAGATAAGGTTGCAGAAGAGCTTTCTAATTTCTGTACTACCTTACAAGGATTGCCAATCAGTGAATTTGAATCCAGCCAGAGAATTCCATGCATGGATTAGCATGACAAACTTCGAAAGAGACAGCTTAAGCCTTCTTTCTCCTTTTTGCTATCCCCTGCATTCCCTCCGACATGTACTACCTGCAAATTGGGACAAACGACGAGCAACACACTTAAGTCACCTTCCAAAAGGCAGAAAGCTCGGCTAAGAGATGGCACCAGATTTCTACATTAGGGCCATTAACCAAACAGAGAAACAAACCCCAATTAATTTATTCAATACCTATCAGCATACTATGTCCTAAACGTGTTGGCTCCCATGGTACTGAGCTCTAGTCCATCTATTGATAACAATGTTAAAACGCTAGTTCTACAGGGTACAAATAGAGGTGGTGGTGAATTTTCTTGTTTTGCAATGCAGTCTATGGTCTCAGGAGTACTGGAAACCCATGGCCCAAACGAAAATGAAAAGGCTTCCCTGTAAGCTCCAGAAAGAAGTCATCACCATATATGCAAAGTCCACAAGAGAAATGGAAGTAGAAGAACAATGACAAGTTTGTTTCTTCTGCAGTAGTTGTATAGAACTGCAACTTACATTGTCTGAAGGGTTTGCTTCCGCTGCCTCGGACTTCAGCCTTTTGTTCATATAATCTAGGTATCCCTTTACAAATCAAACACAATAATAAAAAAGATATGGAATGCAGGAACTTTGAAAGTAAGCAAACCAAGGAAGTACAGAGTTTCCACTCTTTTGCTACGTAGAGAAGCAAAATTAATAAGATACCTGAAGGATTGTAACTGCAGCAAACTTGTCATGCATGGTTTTCGCTTCAACAGGATGCAATTTTAATGGTTCTATAAGAAGATCGATGACCTGCAATAAACAACACCCAAATAAAATCTCTATACATAATTTTGCAACCAGTGAAGTAAACCGAACGCCTTCCACCCTCCCCACTCAAACCAGTTATGACGTGAATCGAGTTTCAATTAAATACAGGTACTGAACCAAAGGAGAAGAAATGAAGCACAAATCAAAGAGAAATGAAAAGGTAGTAACTGAATTAAACACCTTTCACCCTCCCCTCGTTACCCTTCTACTCAGCAAATATACCTCACCTTTGATGAAAAACACTCGTTCCAATAAGTATAGGGTAAACTGTTGTTAAGCTTTCCTGTTCTAGATAAGTCATCCACAAAAAGATGCATTTCATTACCCTGGTTAAAGCATGGAAACAGAATGTCAACAGTTAGTGAAAAAACGAACATATCTGCATATCTCAAAGGATAAAACAGGATTACATCTCGCGACTTCTGATATCTGTCCAATGGGAGTCCTACGACAAATCCAGCCACGGACAGTTCAGAGACCTGATAGCAATAGACATTGGTTAGTATTCAAATTTGTAGATAGGAATGGAAGTCACTAGAGATCTAATATATTTCCTCAACCACAAGACTACCCAAGAAACGAATTTCAAAAATAGCTGCTTCATGAAATAGCTATGAATCTTGACCAAGAGAAACTAAGTAGCATATACTGAAATTATAAGCAACACCAATAACTACATTCTAATTGACCAGAGTATACAAAAACAAGTTCCAATTGATTGTTCAAATTATTAAAATCTCCAACAAGGAACAATCTCATGAGCCCATAATAATCAGACAACCATTTGGCCTGCATTCATATCCAAACACAGATAACCGAACAAAGTACAAGATCTAAAACAGGTAAAACATTAGGAGAAACAATCAATCGAGAAGAGAATACGCACCAGCTTCTGGAAATCCATAGCCACCAAATCAAGATTGGATTTCTTCCTCACCAGAACACTGCAGTTGCACCAGTCAGGCAAAATGAAACCCCCTTCTTAAAGGAACCGTCTTCATCAAGTACATGGTCATATCAAGGTTTGCAGAGTAAGCAAAATGATAAGTATCGTATACCTTAGAGGTGATGCAACTTTGTTGAGGGGATCACTGATGGCTAGCCCCACGTATTTCTCTCCAACATCCAATCCAAGCAACCTACTACCATTCTGTACTGTCCTGAGGAAGCGACCCAATATCGCAGGATCCATGTACTTCATCTGATGCCTCCTAGGATAGCTGTAAATTTGTTAGGAGAAATAGGGCAGCCAGAATTCAGGACAAAAGTAATGGAAGTTAGGGTTTTTTCCTTCTTCTACCAAGCACTGAACTACTGCCATCACCTTCATATAAATAATCTCGACATCTAATTTCTCCCCCATGTGAAGAGTAGTCAGTTTAGTTGATCTTATGATTCTTATCATAGTTCACAACCCAGGAAACATTTCACCGGGTCATTACCTCTAGTTTCAGGATTCTTCCGTCTCCATTAAACAGAGAGGCGTCTGGGAGTCTGCTGCAGCCGGCATCGGCCGGTAAGCGGGCGAGCCCAGTGATCGGAAAAGCCCACTAGCTAGGTCAAAGGAAAAACGACGGAGGTGAGGCAGAAGAAGATGGAGAGGGTAGCCGGCGGCAGCAGGTGGGGTCGGAGGCGAAGAGCAGGGGCCAGGGAGATTATGTTAGATTTTCTCAATCTGTGGCCTGTGGGTAATTCATTAAGAATCCCCTAAATTGGGCTGGGGTAACCGGCAACAATGTAAATGGGCCAAACTGTCGAATCGCGCACCACATTCAAAATGGGCCAAAACATGGGTCGGCTCATGGCATATACGGGTATGGGTTCACTAGGTTGATTATTCGAGTTTTTATTTGGATCGTTGGAAGGCCTCTGCAACTCGAGCTGCTATGGTGAACTTTGCTCATTGCATGAGTTAAGTTGTTTGGGTTGTTTTTGTGGGTGCCATAATTTGTACTATTAAGGTTCGATGGTTTGTGTTTCATGATTATAGAACGGCTCATTTGGTGGCTACTCAGTCTTTGTTCTTGTCGCCTCGTTTTTTGAGGTTCGACTTTGTTTCTTTGTTCACAGTAGGCATGATTTTGTTGTAAGTCTACAAATCTTTATTTGTTCCTCTTATTTAAGAGTGATTTAATGACAAAAAACACCAGCTCTCAGTGCTGCGATTCTCCTTCAGCCTTCATCTGCTTGCGCACAGGGAGGAAAGCTCCGTAAAATCATCAGCAATCCCAATGATCCCGGGGATTTGACAGTCGTTTTCCACTGTTCCACAACTGGGAAAAGATAGGCTGATAATTCTCGTAGGAGATAGCATGGTAATCATCATTTAGATCAATTATTTATGCTTTTATAATACAGAGGACAAATTAGGAAATCGTGGAGGGAAAAAAAAAGAGAAATGGATGATTATTTATGGAAGGAAATTGACAGGATGGAATGGTCACCTCTAACTCTAAAGGGAATGAGACGGATTGTGACTCTTCAAATACACAAATCATATCCGCAATCTTCATTTTTCCCACATTCTAAAGTCACCACTAAATCTCAAAATATCCAAGAAACACACCGTTAGACCAAAGAGAAAAATATTGGACGTATAATTACAATTTACAAGGGTTCGCACCATGCTAACCCCTCGGTGGTTGCATGTCATCGCATTCTCTAGAATCGGATAGGATGCTAACACCACGATATGTTAGTACCATGCTAACATAATTACTATTGGTCTTATGATAATTACACCTTTACCAATTGACAGCCTTGACAAATAACACCTTTACCTAATGGCAGTTCTTTCTCACAAGGCAGCAGAGTGGTTATTATACATGATGACACCATAAAACTAAACTCAGAAGAAATGAATCAATTGAATTGAATCAGAATTAGAATTAGAATTAGAAAAAAGGTATCCACTACGTCCTTTCCTGCTACATGGGATTATTGGTTTACAAGAAACAATTGAGTCAGGGACTGGAGCTGAGTCCGTTTCTTAGCAGCCCTCCTGAAAGGCTTCCTGTTGCGCCACCATAACCGATCAATTCCAGTGGATAAAGAACGCCTGCCTCCATTATTGTCTCCATTACGACTGGCGCCGGACTTCTTGTTCTGGCTCTTCGTTGCAATTCGCCCCACTTTCACGTGGCTGGACCGTGGCGACGGCGTCTTTGGCTCCACCTCGACTTTCGACATGTCTGACGATGATCTTTTCATAGCAAGGTACAGAATCTTATCGTCTTCTTCCATCTCTAACGGCGTAGCTAACCGCAGCAGCTCTTCTCCTTCTGATTCTGATCCAGTTTTACAGGCAGGACATATGTATATCGGCCGCGGCGGCGGCGCTAGCTTTATACACTCCCCATGATACAACTCTTCACATTTGGCACAAGTGACCATCGGTCCATTGTCCCGAGGTTTTCGACATATACAGTACAGCTTGCTTCTAGCTCTTAGCGACTGCAGGAAAGACCCCGCAAAAGATAGCATTAGCTTAATAAAATGTTCAGGCTCTGAAATTGAATCCAAAACAAGAAAATATGTTTTGTTACCTCGAGTTCCTCCTCCAAGTGAAAAGGCAAATTCTCCACTTCCGAGATGAGCTCAAAGACTTTATCCAAGGCAAGAGCACCAGAGTCGTTCGAAACCTAGAGGGAAACAAGAATGAATCATAAACAGAAATCTAGAGAGGCTAAATGATCGGATAAAAGAAACACAGACTATAGGTGGAAATTGCAATCAACCTTATTAGCACGATCAGCCCAATGCGTGGCGGTATCTTTCAGTTCAGACAGCCTCAACCTGAAGTAATCTTCGGGACTTATGTCCGTGGTGAATGCCTCTTCCATGAGGTGATGAATCTCTTGCAGTGTCGGTTTCTTCAATCCACTTGCCAAAATTTGGTCAACTCTAACCTTCCACGAATGTCTAGCTACAGCAAGCTGAAAATCACCATCGACCTCATGATCGTAGACGCCAGCAGCCTCTATAGCCTGAAGGGCAAACATTATTTTCAATAAAAAAACTCACCAGCTGGAGAAAGACATTTTAATGCCTCTCACTTCCTAACAACATCTCTCGACCATAAAGGTCGAGGCAAGTTTTTCAGAAAAGTAGTACCTTCAAGGCAATAGCGAGCTTTTCAGAAACCGGTTTCAGGTCCTTATCCTTGTATGACAATACAAATTCCGCAACTTCTTTCAGGCCTTTTCTAACTATGAGAGCTTTTTCCACAATCTCTTGCAGTACTCCTACTTCATTGATCCTGCAACAAGCAAAGAGCAGCTCAGGAGTTCAAACACATTGACCACATGGAAAAACACTTGGTAGCAGGATTTAGTAACATTTGAACTAAAACCATCCGAAACAACCAACTATTGTTAGTCATTACCTTACAGAAAAACTGTCAGACAGAGATAGAAGTTCCACCAGAAGACTTAACTCTGCTTTTTTCGCCCCCTGCAGGAGCAAAAGACAGGTGAGACAAAAAGAAGCAAGCTAATAAGATGGACCAAAGAATTCCGAGCCAAGTGCCTACCGAAAATATATGTCCTCCCTTTGGGACTTTTATCCCAGAATTCCGAAATTGACAATAAATGCATATGTATGTTGCTGCAACTTCTGCATCAGCTAAAAGTGGATCCAGGCACTCCAGATGATAACTGCTCAAATGGAAAAGATGGTCAATAGTGTATTCTAAAGTTTTCAATCAGAACACATGGTAATGGGCCCCTAGGAATGAATCTGTGAGACGCCTTATGAGCTAATCATACGGAAACTAGAATCAACTAAGTGCCATCCAAATAACAGAAGAACGGAATGCAATAAACTGATGGTTGACAATCAATAATTATTGGGGTCTTATTAACCATACTTCCCCATACACTACGATAAAGACGACATACTGGCAATGAGTGGAGACACTAATATGCCAGTGCAAGGACAGTCCTTAAAGAGAGCAAGTAAACCCAGCATTGTCCCTCAGGATTGTAAAATAAGGTACCTTACCGGTTTTTACAGCTCGAACAGATTATAGACTCTTGGTCATCAAGAATCCTGGTGCAGCACATATTTACAAATTTTCCTCCACATCTCTCAGATTTGTCAAATATGCACATAGACAGATCCAATGATGTAATTATCTGAAACAAAGAAAACAATGCTCAGCTTCTGCTTCAAAACTCCCATCTATACGAACTATGCCTGACATGAAACGAGAATAGGGGAAAGTGACCTTCTGTAAAGCACGGAGCAATGCTGCCTTGTCATCTAAAGATTCTCCTACTATTTCAGCACATCGTCGTTTCCATTCTTCCACATTTTTAGATTCAGATAAAATTAATTCCAGTTCTCCACAACCAAAGGCAGCAGCCCTTCCAAGTTCCTGCAGGCCAACAGAAAAAAACGTCATAAAGCATGCAGGGGCCAGGTTAATTAACCACCAATAGGTAAAGCTTCTAAGAACATACAAATAAAATGAACTCGGAAGAATATTGTGACTAACAAAGTCAATTGTTGTACAAGCAAACATTTGACAGCATGGTTTGAATACAAATAACTTTGAGAGAGATATATCAGGCACCTACTACCATTTCCAAATAAATTTGGATTCCTTGCACAGTGATAACTAGGATTTTTCATTATCGATCCAGAATTGAAGACATTAAAAAACTGTTACTTTGACTTCCTCACCTCTATTGATACAACCATACACTCCCATTTGATCCTTACATAACAAGGGTCGGGCTACCCTATAACACTCTATTTATATCCAGCTAGAAACATACGGCCAAGTTAAAGTTCGATACTCCTTTATTTATTGAACATTACAAGAGCAGTAAATAGTATGCAATGACAGTAAGGAGCAAAATACTTTCGTCATACCTCGAGCTCTTGCATTTCGGACAAAGATCGAAGCCCGGGACTAAGGCTGAGAAACCGATCAACTCTTTCTTTCCACTGCCTAAAGTTTTGAAAGACATGCATAAAAATCCCACAATCAGCGGCAAACATCAACAAGACAGCAAGATAGACAAATACAAGATGGTAACTAACGTAGTCATGCCAGGTTACAAAATATCAGCATATTATCCCTTGCTTTCAACTGCTTCATCCTATACCCATAGCATCCCTATTCCCACCCCCCTGGCTAAGCACTAAAATCAATGAAAAGGGAAAAACAAATACCTGGGATGACTATAACAGGTACGATTAAAGAAGATGAAAACCGTAAAGCAAGAGGTGATGGGTGGACTCACTTGTGCTTGCCAATAGCATTAACTAGTTGATCAACCATCATCATAGGAAAAATATTAGCAATACACTGCAATCAAAAGATACAAGGAATAATTGGTTTGTTGTGAACAATATCAAACAAGTGGAAGCAGTCAATACGAAGTGTCACGCACTTGATATTCGGCAAGAACTTCTTCTGCGTGACTGAAACTGCATCTTCCAGATTCAGTTGGCAAAGAGATTGCATCAAAGGCTTTGTGAAGCCATTTGACTCCACTGATCAATGAGCTACACAATCCTTTGGACACATGTGCAACAGAAAGGCTGCCAAAATCTTTAATCAAATTCTGGACATCCTGTATAATTGAACACATGTAAAATGCATCAATAAGCCATTAAGAGATGACACCATCCATCATCGCCAACGAAATACATTGGAATCAAACATCGTACTACGTCATAAGACTCATAACACAACAAAAAATTGAAAAAGTGTATGAAACACAAGACTCATAACTACAATCAATGATGCAATTGTCCTGCTCTCCAACAACCAATCAACCATTCAAATAGTATAGGGCAATAGGCATACACGGCAAACCCAATATATACTAAATCAATCATTCAGTCGGAATTCACGACAAAATTTGACAATCAAAAAGCTACAAGAGAATATAAAAAGCAGAACAGATAGAATCAAGTTTCTGACCTGCCATGATGGAGCACTTGTGCAGAGAGAAAGAGCCCTGGCGCACCATTGTAGCGTCGACGATGCATTCTGAACTTCTAAAATCTCAGGAAGGTCACATCGGAGACTAGAACCAGCTACTTTAATGGATTCCATTCTACTATGTAAACATTGAATTTCTGACACAAGTTCACTGCTCTTCTCGGGGACCATAATGTCACCCACATTAAATATGCAGATGGCATCATTCAGTGCAGAGCGAGCCACCTTCTCCCATTCCTCACAGTCCCTGAGAATCACTTGAAGCCTTTCAAATTCAGCCAATGATACCTTGAGCCAGTTTGACTGCCCAAGCAAACCCTGTATAGAGGCTAGCATTCACAATCAAGAATTCACAAGAAGCATTAAGGACATAGAAGTGTTTTATGGGTCTGGCCAAACCTTCAAATGATCAAGTTTAAGTAGAGAGCTGGAGCCAGTAGCTGGTGAGGAAGAACATGATAAAAATGCTTCAGCTTCCTTCAACCAACACTTGGCCTTGAGAACGGCATTGTTGACATCGTCCAAAGTTGGCAGAAGGATGAATATGTCTGAAGAACTCCTACAAGGTTAAAATTGAAGAATAAGAAGCGAATATATGCCGATAAAAGACTTTCAAGTCAAAAGTCTGAACCTTATGAGGCTCTCAAACTTGCACAATGAGGCACCATGTGCAAGAAGTTGTTTTGCAGTTTCTTCCCAACAAAGAGCAGCAGCAAGCATGTCAGATATGTCAACAAAAGCCTTCTCGCTCTCTATATGTAGCCTGAAAGAGCGGGGAAAAGAAAAGAGCAGAAAATATAATACAGACACAAACACGGGATTAATAAGAATGAAAAACACAGATATTCCATGGAATAGAAAGCTAGATAAAGTTCAGAGCTTACATAGTTGCCTCCTCAACCAGTTCCTTAATTAACTCAAGTGGCCTTTTAGTGTCACGTGCCTGTACAAAGGGCCCAAAGAGATCAGTAAGATGTGAAATTGCAGATAATGTATCAAATTCAATATCTACACAGGTTGCATAATATCTCCAAAATTGGATGCAAGCATAACTAGAAGGAAACATGAATGACCTTCAGAGCCTTTTCTCGGCAGCAAGCCTTCTTCAACTCACTCTCAAGAAGAGGCAACCCATCAACTGTGATAAGTGGGACCAGGTGTCAAGATGATTCGGATAGCAAAGTTTCAAAATATTTGCAACATAGATAAAGAAAATAATGTCAAACCAGAAATTCTAATAGAAGCTCCATCTTTTATTAGACAATTTAGTTCCTCGATAACTTTGCATTGATCTTCCCTTTCAAGAATGTTGCTCAAAACATCATCACGGCGTGAAATCCATGAAACTGCATCACTGTGATATTGCTTCAAAAGCATAAACTCTGGTACATTAATGTTAAGATCACCGAATTCTTGAATAATAGAAGCAACATCCTGCGTCAATCAAACAGTACAAAATGATGCGTCAGCAGTCAGGAAAATGGTACTAGAAAACAAGGGAGAAAGATCAATGTCAACCTTAAGAACTAAAGGAGCTTGTAGAACGTGACTACACTGAAGCTGACATAATTCAGCCTTCTCTATCAGACTTGAAAGCATCTCTACTTCTGGAAGTTCAACCTCAAGATCCAATATCTGTTCCAGGCAAGAACCAACAGTTAAAATCCAACTCTAAAGGCAAGAATTGGAGCAACTTCCAAAACAAGGACATTCACCTCTGACTTTAACTTGTATAGACTATTGACATCCACTACAGTAGAACATTCACCAGCAAGAGACTTCCTTGCTTGATCTATCCAGACCTGAAGCACAAGAACAGTCAGTACATAAGTACCAGACAAGCAGAAAAAACTATGAGAGTAATGAAATACAATAATGCTCCAGCTTATTAAGAATGTAATGCAACCGAATTTATTCGAATACTCCAATACTTTCCAGTCTGACCGAAAAAAATCTAGATATTGACGTCTTAATACAAATGAGAATAATTAAGCATCAAATTGGAATGAAACTGCTCGTTCAGAATAAAGCAGCATCATTCCCAAGAGTTTAGAGTGAACCTTTATCACAATTTCTTTACTTCTTAATTTCCAGAGGAATGAAACAAACTGATAATGAATGTTGCACATTTAATTACTTCTTTTCAGCAAATCCTTAGTTCGCTTGCAGTACTATGTATAGCCAAAATAATACAGGAAGTGCCAACAAAGTTTACCTTCGCTGATGAAACTTTTTTAGACAACTTCTCACTTTCTTTTACATAGATTGGAAACTCACAGGCCCGTGAATTTACAGACTCCAGTTTCGAGATCTGAAATTACCACAAGAAATCCAATGGCATCCATACAAATCAGAGAGGAATGCATCATAAACAATAGAATTTGAACAATCAACCAGGGCTAACAAGTAACAACTACTTTCAACAGTAAAATAATCTTGTACGAACAAGTTGCACAAAGGATGATACCTCTGAGCACGATGACAGAGCAGTCTCAATGTCCCGAATCAGCAGCCTAGCTTCATCTGCATGCTCCTGTACAAACATTAATCCAGACACATCTCATAAACTGGCTTAAACATGAAAATCAAACTACTCACTGAATAAGAATAACCTGCAATTTGTGACGACCAGGCTCATCACAGGGTACAGGATCATGCGATAGTAGCTCATTCACATGCTCCATATGGACTCTCTCCAAATCATTCAGTTTGTCACTTGTCCAGTTTTGAATTTTGTGAAGACAGTGCTTTATCCCTTCTGCCCATTCCTTAGCGACAATCACCTTCTGCACAACCTCACGTACCTGCATTAAGAATAAACGAGTTAGAATTTCAATAGCTATAGCAACATAAGAGAAATCAAAGGTGCAATGAGGTTTGGACTGACTGCATCCATCTCAGAACCAGCCCAAAGAAACTGTTCAGCTTCTTTCAACAAGCTCACGCATGTGCCACTGCTATATTGATTCTCGAGGAACCTACAGGATCGCAAAATCCACTGTTCAGCAAGTTGGGGCAGACTTACGAGTACACCTTTAACCTGCAAGCAAGTGAATATATTAGAAAGAAGTACGAGATGCTCGCTCTCTAGCCACTTCCGACTACCTTAACCAAAGCTACCCTGGAATAGCACCAGGAGGGGATAAACAGAATATTCACAAAGAATAAAAGTGATACAGGAGGGCTACTTCAATATCTCTGGAAAATCATAAACTGGCTACTGAATTTTGAAGTACTAAGCAAAGTACAAAGGAGTGAGCACGGAAAAAGAGAACCTTCTTCGTTAGGGCAGTTAGATCATTTGAATACGTAATTTGCTTGCGAATACTATAATTTTGCACTCTCTCCTCGGAAATGCGTCTATCCACCATCCGCACCAATCCATGCAATTCTGCCAGAGTATGGCGATAGCGAAGGCGGCGTCTAATTGACTTGCATTCACATAAGTGCTCCCAGTGCTGGATGAAAGAAGATAGCATCCCCCACAAATGAGACAGATCAAAAAGAAAAAATAAACAAACTTGTTGAAGAGCAAGGAAGTAAAGTTTAACAGCTAGCTTTGGAAATTCTTTTTTTTTTCCTCTGGTTGAGTGCAGATATCTAGCTTCAGGCATATTCTATTCCATGGAAATAAAAAGCAATAGGGATTTCCTGCTCAAGGAAACATACAATAGGGAAGCTAGACTAATAAAGCTAGATTGGGAAGCTTCAGTTCAAGGAAACATACAGTAGGGATTTCCTACTACCGGTCGCAGTTCTACTAAAGCACTTATGATATAAGCAAGTCAAGAAATGAATACTTAAAGTTGTTGTTCTTGCTGGATGATTCAGAGAGCGAAAATTACATGGTGAACCATCCAAGAAAATTTAACTTTAATCTTCAAATATTATCTTGCCAGCCAGCATTAGCAATCAAAACTAGTGTGAACATACCTCAAGACAAACAAACGCAGAACGCCTACAACGGCAAGAAACAGCAGAAAGATATAGATACTGCTTGCAGATAACACATGTTGAGTCCTGAAAAAACAAACAAAAGACGCTTGAGAGTTGAGATAATTGATGTGAAGACAGCAAGAAAAACTATTTTCAAATGCTCAGATCTTCACCTCTTCGGTACCAACATATTCGGGGCATTTCCGAGGAGGCATGCGAGATGTTCTGACAATGCCGCCCCTCCATAGTTTCTCTCTCCATGATTTCTCTTTTGTGTACACCCGAAGCAACTCTTTAACCAAGTGAGGTGAGGCTTTGCTATCATAATCACCCTGTTAGAAACAAATATAAACATACTGCCATCAATCTCCTTACTTCATGATTACTCACAGAAAAAAAAAACTCGTAGGACTGTTTTCTACTGGTTTTTCTGTTCACAAAAAAAAATTATAGAACTCGAGTATAACATTGTTTGTATGAATGCGAGACAAGGAGGCAGATATGTCACATATAAGCTGGCATCAGATTGGAGTTAAAAGATGAATGGAACTAGGAACCACCAGATAATAGAAGCCTAAGAAATTATCCCAAACAATTAGCTCATGCTACATGAACAATGAAATTCAATTAGGCTTCAAGAATGGAGATTTTGAACTAGTAGTTTGAACGTTGTTAATGGACTATTTCCATTTTGCAAACATTTTTAGAACCACACGACGTTTTTTGCTGAAGCTGCTGCTAGTTTTCAGTGTGCTGAATCAATTGTCCAAATGTGTGTATGAATTCAAATACAAGGCAGGCCCTTAAACTAGCATGGCACAGTATCTCAGTATAACCAACTAAGGAAATCCCAAATTCTCATTTCCATCTATTTGCTGAGCATACAAGTATGCAAATTTTACTACAACATCCCTATGACAATACCAATGAGCAAAGTCTGTGTATAAAAAACTAATGACCTTGGCTACAACACAGAGAAGCTCCTCATGAGATAAAACAGCAGTTTTATGATACATCTGATACAGCTTGGCCCCGAACCCTCCATGAGGTAGCCAGTCAGCAGGAGCAAAATTCACAGCTTCTGCACAATTCAGACCTGAACCAAGAATAAAAAGCCATCATATTGCAAGCACAATGTTCCACATAAACAGTTACAGTAAAGTAAACTGCCCTAATGGACGCCACTTTATGCAGTGCAACGTACCAAAATTGAAACCTCCATGGTAAGACCTAGGGAACGTGATGACAAAATTTCCAGGCTCCTGAAACAAAAGGAAAGAATAATGGCAGTGAAAAACCATACATGTGCACAGGGTCCCTGACCCCTTGTATAAGGCGTCACATCCTAGACTTTTGCATCGAGAAACTTAGTCCACGAAAAATACATCGAATAATGAAAATATATCATTAGCTAAAACCACAAGTGAAAGCCTACAAGTGTCAAACCTGAAGTACACTGTATACTGGGACCCCCTTCTCTTGCAACACAGATGGATTCAGCATAGTGACAAGCTGGAAGAGTAAATCAGGCTGCGCATCGAACAGATCAGGAAGACTTTCCTTCATTACCTACATAAAGCAGACATATTGTTTATTACATTACTATGCAATTAGTATTTGCATATAAGAGCTCTGTGCCACAGAACATCATGAAGCTGCAATAAGGTGAACATGTAAGTTATCTGAAACAAGAAGTTATAAAATAAATAAATATACAGAACCAATATGCAGAGTATAAAACTAGAGAGCAAGTACCTTCTCAAAAGAACCAGCTTCACTGCCAGGAATGCTGTACCAGCACTTCGGCTCTCCCCTGCAAATGTGGTAAATATAGTCTAGAAATTTTTAGCAAATTTGCTCTTCCACACCAATGTCATACAGCGTTCCAAAGACCAAAAAAAAAAAATGCTACATTGTTGCAGCACTTCACCTATTGTTTGAAACAAAATATGGGAATCACTCCCGTGGAAGAAAGGATCAATCAATCTCAAATTATGATTTCATACACCTTGAATATCAGTGATACAACAAACACTAGATGATTAGCAGAGGTCAAAAGTTAGTTGAAGCCTAACAGAGTGCTCCAAAATTTTAATTAATGAAGTCATTGGAGCGTACCAGTGAAGATAATTCATTGAGTAAAAGCAGTGATCTTCGAAATGCCAACAAAATGCTGAAAACAGCATGCCAACATACAGCCAGGGCACCATCACACCAGTAATGTTTTGATGAACAGCCTGAAGCATGGAGCCTTTCAGCTTTGGCAAATTATTAAGATTCCACGGGCTGGAACAGTATTCATCCCACAACTCAGGATCAACTGATTCTGGCCTTTGATCATTTAATCGAGGAAACCCACTTCCATACACAGAAGTATCCAAGTCACTTCCATACATAACTTCAACTTCACCTGCCAACCCCTCCACAATCTCCCAAAATTTGCTCTCAACTTGAACACGTGAAACAAACTCTGAACCAAACCACTTCCTCTTGGCTCGATCAGCTACACGCCTGAATGCATCTATCATAAACTTCTTGCCAGGCACAAATCCGAAACTGTCCTTCTCAGAATTCAAACAGTCAAAGCAATACCAATTTCCAGGAGGGATTTGCTTTAGCGGCGGTGACAGACAATAGATGTGCCATCCTTTATTACACCTATCACACAAAAGCATTTGTTCACCATGCAAACCACTTCTGCACTGCTCGCATATCTGATCAAGGTTCTCCTCCTTCACTACCTCTTCACAAACCTTAGTCTTGTCACCATTGGCATTCTTTCTCCTCCTTTTTGAGAAAGAAAACTCAACCTGATCACTAACTTTCCTATCATTTTGCAAGCTCCTCTTAGAACTCTTTCTCGCATCTTTATTTAACAGATTATAATACTTCTCGTAATCATACAAATGTTCTCGGTACAATTGACACAAGACATGTTTTCCACACTCGGAAACCTTCTGACCGGACTTCACAAACCTGGACACCTCCCCCCACTTCTTGTCATCCAGAACCTTATCATATCCTCCAAACCTCTTAACCGCATTAAACAGTTTACACAAATCCAAATCCTCCCCTTCGAAAACCACCCTCTTCTTCCTCGACTTCCTGCCGCCTTGCTCCTCAAGAAACCTAGTGTACTCCAACTCAAACGTCTCCGAATCACACGAAGCAGGCCGCACCTGCAGTTGATGAATGGCCTGTGTTTTCGTCGGGAAACTAAAACTATCCGAGTTAATTGCAAAAGGTGGAGACCACCCCTGGGGAGGCACAATCCTACAAATTCCATACCTCTCGGCCTCAGTTCTGATCTTATGAATATACTCTAACGGATCCTTGAATTCCTCCTCGCTCGGGTAATAAACCGGCGCGGGCGGCACGTTCAATGAACTAGAAGATGCCTCCGACGATGAGCTCGAGTTCTGCACTAGAACTCCTTTCTCCACCGCCCTCGGCCTCCCCTTCCCCATTTCCCTCCCGCCAGTCTCATACACCGAACAACTACTCACTGCACCAGGCACAAGAACTTGCTCAACCTAAAATGTAGATGTTCAAAATCAACCGAAACTCAGTCCTCAAACCTACTAATTCAATGAACAAACCACCGAAGAGGCGAAAGAAACAAGAAAATACAAACAGAACGAAAGTTCTAGGGTTTCGAAGCGTACCTTTCGAAGATGGAAATGCAAAGTTTGCAGTTAATTGCTTGCTTGCTGCACGAAAAAGAGTGTTCTCTTCTTCTCTTCAGCTTTTGCTTATTTTATTTATTTTTTCTTTTCCGGATTACTTGTTACTTTTCCCCTGGGGGTTAGTGCTGGACTAGTGAGACAGAGATGGAGGGAAAGAAGCGTCGAAACGTCGTCGCGGGGACGAGTGGACACGGAAGGTAGTGATAAGAAGGTCTGGAAAGGGTGGAAATTACGGAAATGACCACTGAGCTTTTTGAGGCAGTTTATTGGAGCTCGTAGATTGGAAGTTGGTAATCGACGATCTTCACGCGCGATTTGAACTCACGCGGGCTTTCTCTAAGGTGTCTGGGTTTCACGTTCATTAAGTGAGAGGGTGGAGGGAATAGGCATGACTTTGCTATGGCGTTGACGTGTCAAGGAATGACGAATTGGAAAATATCTCTGAGAAGTATCTGTTTAGTGGCGGAGCCATGTTGTGTACAGGGTAGGCTATAGCCCTCTCAACTTTTGAAAATAGGTAAATTTACATGGAAAATGTGTAACAAATTCTAGAAATAGACTAGTTGGTAAGCCACTAACCCTCTCTCACCAATGATCATAGTTCAAATCACTCAAGAGTCAAGTGTATATCGTTTAGCCCCCGTCGTTCAAATTTCTGGCTCCACCACTGGGTATGTTTGTGGTTAATCTCCGATTTGATATCTATTCACTCGCAAATAACTCTAACCGTATTGGGTGGGTAATTGATGTGGGTGAATTGCTGCTTGATAAATCTCATACTCGCACTTAATTGGGTGGGTGGTGGGTGGATTGCGGGTCACCCAAATGAACCGCACTATATTTTCACATGACAAAATATTTTTTTCTTATTTATACTATCGAATAGTCAAAATATTTTCTAACGACACTACACAATAGTCATCAACTTCCAAAGGTGGAGAATAAATCATATTTTTCGGCTACTATTATTGGTTACTATATTGTATCATGTCTATTATATATTGGGATGTAAATTATAAAATATTAATTGTATCAAAGTCACAAAATGTGTCAATTTTCTCTACGCAATTGGTTGATTGAGTAATGAAAATATAACACAAATACTACACGAATCCACATGAGAAAAGAGGTAAGTGTCTAAATTGATAGTCTTAATAACTTGCGAGAAACTTATTATAAAGGTTAGTCAACTTTCTTAATGGCTAGAACTAAAAGGAGAATTGTTTTTGTGAACTAACCCGCAACCAAACTGCACTCATCCGCCACCCATTCAACCTAACCCGAAGAGGAATGTCGATGGATGGCGAATCACAATTATACTAACCTGCTAATGAACGGGTGGATCAATTTGCGAGAAAACCCACCCAACCCCATGCATTATGCACCCCTAGTGCAAAGTGCAAACCCATATTCAAAATAGTAGCGGAAAAAAGGTACAAAAAGCGATTTCAAATGGTTTTTATCTTTGGAGTCATTAGTGTATTATTTTAGGCATTCACACAAAACTAACCATTTGAGCATTGTTTATCTCGTTCTTCGTGTTGATCTCTTGCTCAGTTGAGTTTTTTTTTTTGTTGTCAGGCGAATTTCAGAGAAAAGATCAATGGAGAGGTATACTCGTTAATGCTTATTTGAATTCCAACTTATCACATTATGAGCAACTTGTAGATGTGCTTGTTGAGATTAAATGATTCTGTGCGATAAATGTTTGTTTGTTTAAGTTCCATAAACAAAATTCATAATGGGGTCGTTTGGATTAGGGAATGTGTAAATGAGGGATTTGGATTAAAATCTCTCAATTAAAAACCCAGATATTTTAAACGTGGGATTTGATCCAAATAACATGTTTGGGAATAGATGAAGGATTTTAATTAAAAATTAAAGTTACAATTATACCCATTCCTACCCATCTGTTTCTTCTTCTTTTTCCCATTGCATCTTATTTCCACTAGCTCCAACGAAATAAAAGCAACAATCAACATCTCTGATGTCCGCCATCTTTAACCAGAAAACAAAAATCAATCGGAGCTATGAGGCTGATGAAACTCAAATCTGGGCTCGTCATATACACGAACTACATCGACGAAAACCCCATGTTTTGATTTGGGGTCGATCGGATTGGGGTTCCTCCGCATCGGCGGCGGTGCTAGCTCCTCCCAAACCAGAGACATGGTGTTGCCGAATCAAAATATGGCGATTGATTTTCTTTGGTATGGATCCGATCAAAACCCATCAGAGAAAGATAGGTGATGTTGGCGGGCTCTCTAAGCAACCTTGCCCTTCACACCTCTTGGCGACCTCGCGAGGAACACAAAATCCGATGACGAAAATTAACCCAGAACCCAGAATCCGACGATGGAGATTGACCTACCCAAAACCCAACAAACCTTGAATCCAACGACGACGACAAGCTTCGACGGCGGCAACAAATTTCGACGGCAATAACATGCTTTTTAACGGAGAGAGGGTGTCCATGGCGACGAGAGGGATTAAGGAAGAATAAGAAAGGAAGAACAAAAGGAGGGGCAGAGTTTGGAAAAGAATGAGAAACAATGAGTGATTGTGAAATAGCTGATCCCCATCAGCTATTTTAAAAACTCTCATATGAGAGATTTAGAATTTCCTCATGCCCACAATCTCTCACCTTTCCAAACGCAGAATTGTTTTAAAATCCTGCACAATGAGAGATTGTTTTAAAATCACTCATAAATCCCTCATCACATTCACTAATCCAAACGACCCCAATGGGTTTTTCACTCAATTTTTTTCTTATTTTTCCAATCGATCAAATGAATATCAACTCATCGAAATTCCTCCTCTGAAGGCATGCATATGAGTATGCCTCGACACTACTAGATACAGATAGAGATGCAACGTCCAGGGTTTCACTTTTTTGTGCTCGTGTGCCATGATTATGTTGCATAATAACTCTCACAAAGTTAATGACAATTTCAAATCTATTGTGTCAAAGTCGAAGTTTTTTTTTCATATTATAGCTTTTTATGAAGTCACGAACCAGTAGCAGAACACCCAAACACTTCTTCGGTTGCAAAATCGTGTAACAACGGGAGCAAAGACGAATTGATGGGTTGTTTAGATGAGGATTTTGTGTGAAGGATTTCGCCCAAATTCCTCTATTCTATTGAATTTCGACAAAGTAACTCATTTAAAAAATTAACAATTTCGAAATTAGAAATTTTGAGAATCCTCAATCGCGGGTTTTCAAAAGTATGTAACAACCCTATACAGCTAACGATGATGACGTGTAAAGTTGAGAGGGATGTATAAATAGAGGAACCCATTTGTAGTTGGATATCTTTTGACCAATCTGTTAAACTGTAATGACATTACCCATTTAGCTAGTTATCAATAGTATCAGAGTTCTCCTTTCGTCCCTATCCTCTACCTTTCCTTCTTCCTCGCCAGATTCCACCTTCAACGATCCTTACAAGTGGTATTCAGAGCCTGTAATCTGGCAATGGCAACAACTACTTCTCGTATCGTGGTCTTGGAGACGCAGATGGTGGCTGTTCAGTCGCAGATGGATTTTCAGCATCAAGACATCAAGGACGCCATTGCTGCTCTTGCAGCTTCGACAAGGGAGCGCATCGCCGCCCTCACTGCTTCTTTGACGCGAAATCAGGCGACATCGCCGATTCCCTCACCACCGCGTCACGATTACGATCATCTCCCTGCTCATCAACACTTCGCCATCAAGCAGCAGATGGACTCACAGAACCAGGATCTGAAGGCCGCCATTGCTGATCTTGCGGCTTCGACGAAGGCCTCCATCGATGCTCTTACTGCTTCGTTGGAGCAACGGCGGGACGAGTCACCGGTTCGTTCTTCTTCGCACGCGACTCCCAATCAGCTCGCCGATCAACAGTGGTTCCGTCCGCCACCGCGTTGGCCGTCAATGTTGGATCCTCATGTGCGGGTTCCTTCTTCCACCTTCTCCGGGCAATCTGACTCGACCTCCGATCCCCAGGTTACTTCTCCACCGCTCGATTGGGTTTCTCCCCTGTTTACCCCAAGACTGCGAACCCTAGTTCCTTTTGCTGTTTCTTCTCCGAGTCTTCAAGCCCCAGTTTTTTCTTCTCAAGAACCACCACCGATTGCCTTGCCCTATTTCCCACCATCTTCTGTTTCGCTACCTTCTGTTTCCCTATCTTCAATTTCCTCTCTTAGTGGTAGTAGCAACATAGTTGTAGGCGGAGGAGGGAGTGGAGATAGCGGAGTTATTGCTGGTAGCTGTGATAATTTTGCTATTCGAGTTTTTCCTACAGTGTTTAGTTCTGGATTCCAGGACTGCCATATTCCATTGATGCTCTCTAAGTTGAATTACGGGGTTCAACTTTGTTGTGGTTATGGTGAGAATTGTGTAGCTTCTACAGGGGGAGAAAAATATCCTTGTTTCAAGGCTCCATACGTGGGTTGCAATATGGCGATCTTCAACTCTAGTGTCAAGTATGGGTTTCAGATTTTCCCAACATATTATGGGGTTTGCCTGAGTTCTCCTAAGGGGTGCACTTGGCCGGATTTTAAAGGCCCTTATAAGGATTGTGAAGAGCATTGTGGTGATGTTGAGTCTGTCAAGAGGAAACAACTTTCTGGTTTGAGTGTGGGAGATAAGGGGTTGAATGCACAAGACATTAACTCTGTGCACTCGGTTATGAATAAGCAGCTTCCAAGTGAGGCAGTCTCAAAGTCTGGGTGTAGTGGTTGTCTGGAGGCTGACTTCGCTACGAAACAAGACGATCAGAAGGACGAGGCCGCCGTGGTAGATGGTTTTGTTGCTGTTGCTGAATTGGATAACCAGCAAATTGAAAGCCGACATTCTGCTGAAGGAGAAGGTTCTATTGAAGCTAGTCAGCATAATGTAGCAAACAGGAATGAATGGTCTAGTTCACCTGCTGAAAAAGAGCCTATTTTAGCCGCAACGAAGCTAGTTTTTGAAAGAGTTGTTCATGCTGGGAAATCATTGGTTGCCTTGTGGAATTGTGCTCTAATATGTCTATGTTACTCTTGGGTTGTGCTTATTCGGATTCCAGTTTTGTTCAACCAGCC